TATCCCTCTTTCCTTCCTTTTTTTCTTTCTTTCTTTATCCCTCTTTCCTTCTTTCTTTCTTTTATTCTTTCTTTCTTTTTTTGTGCCAATACTGGGGCTTGAACTCAGGCCTCTCGCTTGACTTTTGGCTCAAGGATGGCACTCTACCATTTAAGCCACACTTCTATTTCCAGCTTTTTGCCAGTCAACTGGAGAATTTCTTAGATTTGTCTGCCTAGGCTGGCTTCACAACACAGTCCTCTGATTTCAGCCTCCTGAGTATTTAGGATTATAGACATGAACCACTGGCACCTGACTCAGTTTCTTCTTCTTAACCATTCACTGGTCTGTCTTTTATCTGCTTCCTCAATTAAACAGTGAAGTCCTGCAGCAGAGTCCACCCTGACTGCCACTAACAAACCTCCAAGATGCACATGAAACGTGTGTTCTGCCTCCCTGTAGAACATGAATCCAACCCAGGTCTCGCACACACCTGCACATCCTTCCCTGACCACTTCTTCACATACCAAGGTGACATGAGGAAGCAGACACACAACCCGCTGTAGAATCCCAGCCTACTCTATCCCAGCTTTGGCAGACACACCGAAGCAACCACTTAAACTGAGATCTGTCTACAGTTACATGTGGCCAAATCTCCACCCCCCACTCCACACACACACCCAAGAGAAAGAAAACAAATTTCCTGGCATGGAGGTTCTCAGTCAGTGGGTAAACCCAGACCCTGGGAAGGCAGAGGAGATTCCAAAAAAATCCACAAATCCATATGCACACCAAATATCTGAAGGCAGATGGGTACATCTTGCATACAAAACTAAAACTATTTTTCTAATGTATATTTTATCAACTACAATAGAGAACCTAACATCAACATCATCTAAAAGCTTTTCTGAATTCATAGGAGCTTTGAGTCATTTATTTTCCCCAATAAATAGATATAAAAAGAATAACTACTACTTGGAAGAGAGACTGTGAATTACTGACTTTTTAAAATGTCCTCAATTTCAAAATAAGGTTGGAAACAACTCAAAGCAGAAAATAATGTGACTCTAACTTCCAGAGGAGTCTGAGGACTCTAGCCCCAGAAACCAAACCTGTTCCCCTCCAAGTCATTCTGCCCTCACCCTAGTAACCAGCAGTGAGACCATGCCCTTCCATCTTGACTAGATAAGAATGTACTACTAAACGCTGGGCACAACTGGCTCCCATTGTAAACCTTGCTATTCAGGAGGCTGAGACCTGAGGATGGCAATTCAGACCAGCCTAGGCAGGAGATCTGAGGATCACAGTTCAAGTCCATCCCAGGCAGAAAGGTTGTGAGACTCTGATCTCCAATTTTTTTTTTTTTTTTTGAGTCCAGTCGTGGGGCTTGAACTCTGGGCCTGGGCGCTGTCCCTCAGCTCTTCAGCTCAAGGCAAACGCTCTATCACTTGAGCCACAGCGCCACTTATGGCTTTTTTTTTTCTTTTTGCTTATGTGGTGCTGAGGAATCAAACCCAGGGCCTCAGGCATGCAAGGCAAGCGCTCTACCACTGAGCCACCTTCCCAGCCCTCTGATCTCCAATTAACTACCAAAAAAAAAAAAAAAAACTAGAAAAACACTGTGGCTCAAACAATAGAGCACTAGACAAGTAAAAAAGCTCAGGGACAGTGCGTGGGCCCCAAGTTCAAGCCCCAAGACTAGCGCGCGCACGCGCACACACACACACACAGAATGTACTAGAAGTGAATGAACACAGGGTATTACAAAAGCTGCCTAGGAAATTAGAACGGAGGAGCGGACCTGTCATCTCCAGATACACTCAGTGTCTGCACCTCCACAACCACCCATAATATATACCTGAAAATATACACATGCCTATTTTCATGTACATATATGGCCTCACCTTTATTCTCCCAAATGCTTATTAATATCTCTCCATTCATTACACAAATCTTTATCAAACACCCACTAAGTGCCTGGTACTATATTAGGTGGAGAGAATACAAAGATGAATAAAAACACATCCTGCCCTTTTATCATAGACAAAGCAGCACCTCAACAGATCACACACCAAGATACACACACACACACACACACACACACACACACACCATACCCAGACACCCATGTCCCTGAGAGCTGTCTGACATCCACTGAATCTCTCTCTCTCATTCACATACACACAAAATGGGTCACAACACAGCTGAAAACAATTCACCTGATGCACATCCCCTTCACAGACACAACCACACACACAACAACTCAAACACATCTTTTTTTTTTTTTTAATTGGGGCTTGAACTCTGGGCTTGGGTGCTGTCCCTGAGCTCCTCAGTTCAAGGCAAGCACTCTACCGCTTCAGCCACAGCGCCACTTCCAGTTTTCTTATTGGAGATAAGGGTCTCACGGACCTTCCTGCCCGGGCTGACTTTGAACCGTGATCCTCAGATCTCAGCCTCCTGAGTAGCTAGGATTACAGGCATGAGCCACCAGCGCCTGGCTCAAACACATCTTAAGACACAACCATACAAGTGTGTGGTTACTGGTTTACTGGCTTACTGGAGCCTCTGGCCAATGGGTATTTTCACAATGACCAGGGTGCCTCTGAGTACATTTTCATATGACTAGGCCCAATTCAGCCACAGTGACACCACAGACCTGTTTCTGTAATCTCTCCATAGTTCAACAATCCGCTCCATCAAATTTTCTTAAGAAGCTTAGTGGGGAGGGGTTAAAGGAATTATAGAACAAAGCTAAAGACCTGAAAAGATTCTTCACAAATTCCAGGTATCTTACTGAGGACTCACATGCAAACACATGCACCTTGATGCCTAACTACACATCTAAGCACACATGTCAACTCATGCATACTGCTCACTATACTAAGACCAGACCTCTGCCAACAAGCACTACTATTCAAACTACCATTCACACCCTAAACACGCTGCCAGACTCGTGGGCCTCTGCACGCAAAACACGTGGTTTCACAGTTTAGGGAGCACCTGAGTTCCTTGGAGAAAAGGAGAGAAGGTGTCAGATTCCTTAATACGCACATTTCCTGAAGATGTAGCCCACAACCTTGTACAAACAACCCTACAAAAACAATCCAAATCCCTCCCAGGTATTCATCAAAGCACTATCCAAACAACAGAGTTCTCATACCTAGAGCCACACCTGCAGACTTGGCTCCTCTCAGGGCCTGCAACCATGGGGACACCCATCACCACAGCCACACTGGCCTATAGATACACACACTCACATACACACTCCCCCAAAGACACACACATACATACAGAGTGGCCCAGACCTTCTAGGAGTACTGGGATCAGGGAAGTCTGACTACACATATCTGCTGGGAAAAAGCTACTAGTCTCAAATTGATGAGGTAGGGCCTCACCCTACCTGCCCAGACAGACCAAATTAAAAGAGGCGCCTAAAAGTCCCTCCTCCCATCATCCCCAGCAAAAGTCACAACCAAGCCTACCTAGCTCAACCCAAGGCTCTCCACTGGTCTCAGCCAGACATACCCCCCTAAAGCCTGGGGTGCTGATGGGACACCGCCTCCAACACCTCCCTCTCATCTCCCAAATATATATTCAATCCCATGTTCCAGAGTTCTAGCAACCCTTAACCAGAGCAGTGACCCTCGCCAGAACGCCATGCTCCTAAGGCTTCCGATTTCTGACACAGACACTTCCCTTCTTCCACCGAGAGAGACGACCTGCCATCTTGGCCCCTCACCCAAACTAGTCAGCTCCTACTCAGGTCTCTCTCTGGTGATTCGGTAGTGAAAAACAAACGCTCAGCTCCGGCCCTCTTGGTCTCGTGGCCAATGGGGCCACTTTTGCCGCCCCATTCCCACGCGGGCTCCGTCCAGAACTCAAACGCGGTGCTCAACCAGCCCTTCAGCAGCAGCACCTCGCCCAGTCCCTCGGAGGCCACGCCCACTCTAGACCCGCCCACTCCGAACTCGCCAATGATGGCCCCGCCCGCGACGCCCGCTCCCCACGCTGCCTCCCGCAGGCCCCGCCCCCACCAGCCCCTCAGGACCGGTACCCACTGAACTCCAGGACTCACTGGCCACGCCCACGGCCGCGTGCCTCGCCCGCCTTCCGGCCGGCTGCTTAGGGACCGTGCCCTCCCTCAGACTCAAGCGTTCCCGGGCCCCTTCCTGGGACTTTTATCCTCGCACGCCCAAGCCTACAGGCCCCGCACCCCGGGACCTCCGCCCTCCGGGGCCCCAGCCCCGCGCTCCCGCGCCCAGGCGCAGGGCGTCGGCTCCCCCAGCCGGGGCTCACCTTCACTGCAGAACTTGCCGCCGAAGCCCGTGTGGCTGCAGTCGCAGCCCACCTCGCCGGGGGCCAGCACGGTGCAGAGGCCGCCGTTGGCGCAGGGGTTGCGCGCGGGCGCGCACAGCGGATCGGCCGCGGCGCCGCGCAGGCCCTGGCTGCCCAGCAGCGCGGGGGGTCGCTCGCCCAGCTTCAGGTTGGCCAGGAGGCCGCGGAAGGGCGGCTCGTACTTGACGGTGCTGAGCGTGAGCGCCGAGAGGCGCACGTCGGGCGGGATGCCGCCCACGAACAGGTCGCTGGCCACCTGCATCTCGCGTCGCTTGGAGCGCACCTCCGCCGCGCGGGCCTCGCCGTCCACCGCCAGCGCCGTGCGGCGCGCGTCGCGGGTGAGCAGCACCATGTGCCAGCGGTCGTCGGCCACCGGCGTGTCCAGCTGCAGCGTGGCCGGCTCGGCGCACGAGAGCGTGAAGCGCAGCCGCAGACGGCCGTCCACCAGCAGCAGCTCCAGAAAGTCGCAGTCGCCGCCGTCGTCCAGGTAGAGCAGCAGCGCGCGCGTGGCGTTGGTGCGCAGGCTGAAGCTGAGCTCGCCGCTGCTCGCCGCGCCCGCCCAGCGCGCGTAGCGAGCCCACTGCCCGGGGCCGCCGCCGAACTCCAGGCCGCGCGCGCCCGCCGCCAGCGCCAGCAGCAGCAGCAGCAGGTGGGGTGGCGGCCGCCACCGGCTTCCGGGTGCCATGCCTCTGGCGGCCCCGGCGCCGCCCGGCCCCCGGCCCCGCTCGGGCTTCAGAGCCGCGGGTGCATGGGGCGAGGCGGGGAGGGGGCCGGGCGCCCCTCGCGCCGAGCGCGGCTCCCTCGCCGGCTCACAGTGCCATGGGCCCGGCCGCAGGACGGGGCGCGCCCCGGCCCAGGTGCCCCCGGGCGGCGGCGGCGGCGGCGGCGGCGGCGGCGGCGCGGAGCAGCCCCTCCCCCGCGGCGGGCTCGGAAGCAGACTGGGGAGGGACAGGGACGCCTGCAGGGTGAAAGAGAGAGGAAAGGTTGACATGGGGTCAGGTTCTCCCCTCAAACTAGCAGATGACCACCTGTTTCCCTTTAGGACTTGCAGGAGCCGACCCTGACCTGCAGAGGTTCGCAAGGAAAAGACACCCTCAATGCTAGGCGCCCGTGGCACACACCTATAATCCTAGCTACTCAGAAGAGTGAGACCTGAGGGTCAAGGTTGGAAGCCAGCTCAGGCAGGAAAGTCTGTGAGACCCTTAATCTCCAATTAATGAGCACAAAACTGGAAGTGTGATTCGAGTGGTAGAATGCCAGCCTTGAGCGAAAAGCTAAAGGACAGCTGAGTTCAAGCACCAAAAAAAGGAAGACACCATCGCAGACGGAAGTGCTGGTGGCCCATCACCTGGGGAGAGATGGCACTCACTAGGGGCATTATTGGTTTAAGATATGGACAGTGGGGGAGGTGAGACCTAGAGTCCAGTGGGAATGCAACTCAGCTGCCCTCACCTGAATCCTCTTAAAGAACCCTGGTCAGGACCAAGGCCAGCTTCTACAGGCGGGCGTGGCCTGGCTTAAGAACTCTTCCAGTTGGTGACTCAGCCCCTTCCTCTCAGAGCCACCCAATCTGCAAGTGGCTCCCAACTCCAGCCACAAATCCCCCTTGAACACGCTCTCTCTCTCTCTCTCTCTCTCTCTCTCTCTCATCAGCTCTTGATGCTGGATAATGAAGTTGCTAAATAATTCATTGGGATTAATTAAATGCCAATTCGTCAATGGTATCACAGGGTAACCAAGCCGGGGAAAGGAGCAAGGGAAGAAAGCCAGCAGGACCCAGGTATCCACATCCCAAGACCTCTCCACCTCTGCAAGAACATCAGCATCCCATTCCCGGGCCTCTGATCTTCTCCCCCCTCCCCAACCACACTTGCCTCTACCTGCTAACCAGCCCAAGTCCTATGTGTGTCACCCTCCAAGTCCAGCTCCCAGTCCTCAGCCTCAGGACCTGGTTCTCTTCATCCCTCAGTTCCTCCAGGCCCACTACCTAGGTCTAGGGGAGCTACCAGGAGGCAGTCAGACTCATTTGCATAAAATTGCCTTTCTGAAATGATTACCCTTGTAACGGGCTGTCAGAGAGCAATTTATACCCCACGACGGGGAGGGGAATTTGCATCTCGTTAAACTCCAAGTCGTAATTATTTATATCCAACAACCCTCCTGAATATTGCATTGATTTTATTTTGGGGAGGGAAGGGGGTGGAGAGAAGCCTGGCAGAGAAGGAAGGAGGGGCCCGAGTTTAGGAGATGGGGGGGGGAGGCGCCCATGAAAAGTGGTCGAGATGGAAGAGTAATGGAAGAGAAAAGGGGCTTGATGGGGGAAGAAAAGAAATAGAAGATTGAGAAAATTAAATTCCAAATTCAAACATCATTTGTCAACGCCCTGGATCCTGGACATTTTTACAAATGTCATTTTACTTAATCACTCAGAGAAGTTCTATTTCCATTAAGCCTTGGGAAAACCCAAGTCAAAGAGTCTGGGGATTTGCCCAAGGGCACACACAGCCCATGGGCCTCACATGCAAGGCTGCCCAACACCTTTATGCCCATAAAGGAGACAAAGGATAGGACAACCCCAGGTACAGCTCAGAAAGGGGACCAACAGCACAGGAGAAGGCTGGCTTGGAAAGGGGGGAGGGCAGAGGGTAGGGTGAGAAATTAAGAGCTACAATACCGGAGGAAGCTGAGGTAGGAAAAGAAATTACGCCTCCCCCCCCCAAAAAAAAAAGGGACAAGCAGAGTCACAGGAGAGCAGGAGTGCTCAACTGGCACATGTGGAAGGAAGAAGGACAGAGAAGGTTCAGAAGCCATCAGCAGTGTCTAAGATGAGCTCTCCAAGAGACCCGCAAAGCCTCATCGGCCCCTTCTCAGCTCCTTCAGCAGCTCCTGATTGCCACCCTCCCAATCCTGTAGGTGGGCGCCCTGTCCCAGCACCCCTCCAAGGACTGCCCCTTCCCAAGTGAGGTGAGGAAATCCAAGCCTGCAGCCCCCCATTCCCCACAAACACTGTTGGGTTATATATAGCTTGCCACTGCCTCTCCTCATTGGGTAATGGAGATAATTAACATGCTCGGGCTAATTAGCCAATCAAATTAAATGCAGCACCTGCTCCCAGCCTGATTGACGCCCTTATCCACTCCCCCCCCCCAACACACACATGTATACACCCCAGCCCAGGGCAGAGGAGGGGTCCCTGAAGCTTGGTGAAGTGAAAACCAAAAATACCCCTCTTCTCCATTAAGGGCAAGCCCCTCACCCCTCAGTACAGCACCAAGCCCTGTTGTCCAAAGAGTGATCACCCTCCCTTCCTCCGGCCTTGCTTCTCTGCCTGGTCTGTCTCAGTCTCAGTCTGGCCTAGCCTCGCCTCTCTCCCCTCCCCCAGCCCCAACCTCTGGACCCTATTTTGGGGAGGGAATTAATTAGCTATCGATTTCTGCTGGTGGAGGGAATAGGATTGTGTGCTGCCTGCTGTCCACTCACCCCGCTAGCTTGCGGGAGAGGGAGGAGGGACTTTCTCCTGCCCCGCCCCCCCAATCCCTGGTCATGCTCACACACCCCATGCTCAGGAACATGTAAGAAAGCCTCAGAACGGGGTCTCCTTCCTCTCAGGAAGTTGGAGGAGCACAAATGGAGCGGAGGGTGGTCAAGACGCTGGGAAAGCAGCACCTGGTCCAGAGCCAGGTTACCTAGTTGAGAGGCAGAGTGCAAAGTGGGTTGGAGTCCAGGAGGGCGTGACTCCGCTGGTGTGGGTGTGGAGGGACAGCTGCAGGCAGGCGCGTGTGTGTGGGCAGCTGTGGGAGCAGAGGCTTGGCTTATGAAGTGCCTCTAGGGAAGGGCCAAGGCAGGGTCTGGGCCTGCAGCCCCTCCAAACTCATTGCTCATTCTCTCCACAGCCCACAGCTCTGCAGCACAGGCTGGCCTGGCTTAGCAAAGCTGACCAGCCCTCTCCACGTCCTTTCTCTAGAGACCCAAAGACCCTGGGGACGGCTTCAGGTGTGTGAGGAGGAGGAACAGCCTCCAGAGGAGCGTGAGCGAAGCAGACAGCTGGGCTCACATCTGCCACACCCCGAAGTGCCCAGGATACCCGCTGCTCTTGGCGACTTTGCTCCCCCCAGCTGCCCCCACCCCAGGGCCTAGCCCCAACCCACTCTGTTCCAGCATACCAGGATTCCTGCTGGCTTAGAATGTTGTTCAGGCCTCAGCAGCAGCCTCATGACCAGAAAGCTACTCCCTGGGGGCCCAGGGCCATTGCACAACTACATCAAGCGAAGGGTGTTCTGGGAATTTGTGTGAGGAGAGGCCCCTCTTCCCTGGCTTTGCACCCGGGATGTCCAGGCACTGTCCCCAAGATCAATACTTCTTCTCTAGGACCTACTGTCAGAGCACAGCCACCATCCAGAGTGGCCCCCAGGGTACCCTGTCTGCTCACAGACATCACTGTGCTATACAATGCCAGCCCCTGCTGGCCCCAGGCCACTGCTTCTCCAGGGAGCTGACCTCTCCCACGGCATCCCAGGATTCTGTGCCCAGTCATACCCCCTGCCCAGGCAAGTGGTACCACAGGATCGGCAGGGGTGGGGCGACCAGGCAGCCCTATGGGCCTCACTCTGCTCTCTCCCACTCTTCCCTCCCCCTGAAGACTCGCCCTGGGTCTCCTGAGCAGAGCTGCCTCATCTCCCCACAACCAGACCAGAGCCATGGTGGCACAAGGGCAGGAACCTTGTTCCTCCTCAGGCCCATCAGGTGCCATCTTGTTTATCCTTCTGATCCTAAGCAGCAGTGTTCCAGACAAAGCAACTGAGCTGAGGGATACATTCACTAGCACGGGAGGTCAGGGGGTGTCTGGCCCAAACTCCACGGCATCCCTCTACCCTGCCCGCAGACTGCAGGGCAGTGTCCATGGCTCAGAGCCCACCCACTGGCCTGGCCTTCACAAGGGATGTTGCCCTTAGAGGTGCCTCAGACTTTGAGCTTCCTGAGAACTAAAGACAAAAACCCCTGACTTTGTCCCTCTTGGGTTTTTTTTTTTCTTTTCTTTTCTTTTTTACTAAGATAAAAACAGAGTCCCAGAGAAGAACACAGATTAACCAGAATTCACACAGAAGAACATGGCTAGCACCAAGGTCACCGGCACTTCCATCCTAACACGCCCCCCAATGTACCCACTGCTCCAGGCCTGGCCCCTCGAGCCTGGCCCCGGGCCTCAGCCCTGCACCACCAGTGCAAATTAAGCAAATAGATGCAAATTCCACCATTGGCCACCCTGGCAGAGGCCCTGGCCAGGGGCTCCTCCTCTAGCATCCGTTCAGCCTCCTCTCTGGCCAGCTCACATCCTCCCCCCACCCCCCACACACACCTCCAAGCGTGGGAATATGCCAGCCTTTCTCTGGCTCTCCTCGCACACCAGCTGGGAGTGAGACAGCAGGGGCCTCCCCAAGCACCGAGGAGGAAGAGCGGGGTTTACACACATTCTGCTGGCCCCAGAAGGCAGCACGGACAGGTGGAAGAAGTGTGTGTTATGGGGGTGGGGAGAGGTTTTTTGGCTTGAGCAAAAGAGAAACTTGCTGGCAATCTACACCATGCAACAGTGGAGCAGACTGGGGGGGGGGGGGGAGTGTCTCCCCATCTGTAGCGGTATGCGAGCTGAGGCGGGTGACTGCTGCTCAGAGACCTCCAGGAGGGGGACTCTTGAATCACCATGGAGACATTGGATTGTTCAGCCCTGGACCTGTCCCTCAGGTTCAGAATGGTTTTGGAGCTAGGGACCTAGTGGCTCAATCCTGTAATCCTAGTTATTCAGGATACTTAAGATCTGGGGATCAAGGTTTAAAGCCAGCCCAGGTGGACATGTGAGAGACACTTATCTCCAGTTAACCAGCAAAAAAAGCCAGCAGGGGAGGTGTGGCTCAAGTGGTAGAATGTCAGTCTTGAACAAAAAGAGCTAAGCAAGCACAAGGATCTGAGTTTGAGCCCCAGTACCAACATACACACACAGAATGGTCTGGGGGAGGATGCCTTCTCCCCTGCTGAACTGCCCAAGTGGGACTGACAGACAGTAGTTCCTTCTCCACCTCCCTCCTCTCTCCCCGCCCTGAGGACCTAGACACAAGGGAAGACTGGGCACATCCACAGCCCATCAGAACCTCAGCAGTGGGCTGAACAAAGTAGCACCATGGTCAGAGAACCTGGCTCTGTGGCTCAGTCCCAGTGCCAGCTCTCCCTCCATCTACACCTGTGGGGCCTTTGGCAAGTTGCTTAGTCTCTCTGTACTGCACTTTTTAATGTATAAACCAGGGATAATAGGTGTGCTGTCAGAATTAGCATTCATCTGGGTAAAGTACTTAGTGCAGAGCCTAGCAGAGACAAAAGTGTGAAAGAGTGTGTTGTGCTAATGATGGCTTGTAACACAACTCAGCGCTGTCTTTTACAGCTTGCAAAACTACATGTGTCTAGCGTAGATCTTGATTCTCACCAGGGCCTTATGAAATGGAGTAAGAAGGGCTGCCATCATCGCTGCCCTTAGGGGAGTAGGGTCCCACAGAAGGTCACACCTCTGGGAGACGCAGAGTCAGGACTCAGGTTTGGGTCTCTTCTGGTCCTGGAGCGGTGGGAGGTCTGAAGACCAGGGAGCCTATGCAGCAGGGGCTGAGAGCAGGGGGGTACATGCAGGTCCCCTGAGCAGGTCCCCATGTGCGTGGAGAGAGGCAGAAAGGGGCTGGGGGACCAGGGTGGCAGCTGGAGTTGTGCGTGATGAGGCTGCTGCCAAGAGTGTGGGACTGAGGGAATGGGTGGGCTGGGCACCGAGGTGTGATGGCATGACTCGGTGGCGTGGGGGCCGCAGCACGGGTGGGTGGAAGCTCGGGGGTAGGCAGTGGGAGGGGTGAGCACACAGAGAGTCCCTGTGTCGTGCACAGCCAGGGCACGCCGACCTGCAGGTATGCCCCAGTGGGAAGGGGACAGATGGTTTCCAGGGGCGGCCTTGTGAGTAAGCCCAAGGTACCTGGGAGCCTTAAAGGTATCCATGGCAGGTGTGTGTGTGTGTGTGTGTGTGTGTAGGAATGGTTTTGATGATGACAAAAATATCTGCTTACTGGGGGCCTTCTGTGGGCCTGACAGACGTCGGATGAAATAAAGTTCCCAGTGCCAGGCACCAAGTAGGTGCACAGTAAATATAGTCATTGCTACTATTACTGTTGCCATGCTAATCATCTCATCTAGTCCCGGTAACATCCCCATGAGGGAGGTAGGAGAAGGCCCATTTTACAGAGGAGGAAACTGAGGCTGACTGAGGGACAGAGCACAGTCCACAAGGCCTCGCCTTCACCCGCCACATGAAAGGTTGGTGGGAGCGGAAGAACAGCTTTGTAAGGAAGGACCATGAGGGGCTGTGCCCACGCCAGAAGGTATGCACTGGGTTTTCTGTTGAATGAGTCTCGCCAAGCCCACAGGCCTGTCAGTGCGGAAGGGAATGGGACTGCAGAGTCACACCAACAGATGGAGCCTCGGGTGGGTGGTGTGTGAGGACACACATCCACACATACCGGGTGTCCCCGCGGGGGCTGGGCAGGAGCTAGGGATGAATGGACAGTGTGTCTCCAGGGTGGGTGTTAGGCTGGGCATCAAGGTTCCATAGGAAGCCAGGTAGAGGCTGAGGTGACTGTGGTCCAGGGTCAGGAGGGGAAGGAGGGGGCGGAGATAGGGCCTGAGGGGAGGGGGTGTGGAGGGGGGAATATGACCTAAGCATGTGAAGAGAAAAGAGAAAAATAACAGCATGATCTTGGGAGAGAGACTTAGGGGGTAAACCAAGGCATCACAGGTGTGTTGGCATGCATGTGCAGGCTGGCGTGCAAATACACATGTACTCATACAAAGGTCTAGGGCAGGAGGCTGAAAACCCAGATAAGCACCCATGTCAGGGGGAGGGGCTGGGCAGGTGTGCACTTGTGGGAGGTTGGGGGTGCCCAGGGAGGGAAGACTTTGGAAGTGAAGGGGGCCCCTGGGGGGGCGGGGGTCTTGTGCATCTGAAGGGTGAAGACAGGCCGTGCTGCCTCAGAGGATCTGGGGACACAGAGGGGCCATATGTGTGTCATGTACTAAAAGCAGGGCTCCTGGGGGAGGTCTCTGAGGCAGGCGACAAGGTGGCAGTCTTCCTGGGCGGGGAGTGTGGGCGGCGTGCTGCCGGGAGGTGTATTGTGTACGCAGGTGTGTGTGCTTGTGTAGGTGTGTGTCTGGATGGGTGCCACTGAGTATGCGGATCCGGGTCACAGTGTCTGTGTCACTAACGAGGGCTTGGGGGGAGGGAGCGGCTGGACATAGATAGAGAAGCCCCTTGGTCCCTCCTCTGGAGCCCAGCCCCCTCTTCTGGAGGGAGCCCTGTTGTCATGTGGATTCAGCCCAGGCCTAGCCTGGAGAGACCGGGGCTCCAGCTGCAACGGTCTGGCGGTCAGTCCCGCCCACCCTTAGGAAGCTGAGGACTGGACCGGTCTGAGCACACACGTCCTCCTACAAGAATGAGGGCCTCCCCGCCAAACCCTTCTCTTCTTCCCCCAGAAGGCTGTGGCCTATTCTTGGAGGCTGGCATCTCTGAGCCATCCTGGGAAGTAGGAGTTGGGACCTGAGTAGCTAAAGCACCCACCAGATCTAAGGCCCCCACAGTGAACAGACTAGTGGCTCTCCCCCTTCCTTCCTTCCTGCTTCCTTCTCTTTCTCCTTTTGCTCTGGCTGAAGACGAGAATGTAAAATCTTAAAAATCCACCCTGCTTCAGAAGGAACACCCAGACGCCCTGGGAAGGTGGACAGGAGGAAAGGGTGGGAATGAACTGAAAATCCTCACCCACCCCACCCACTGCCAACACGTACGTACAGCAAATCGGGTGTGTGGTACAGTCAGAAAAGCTGAAGACCCTTTCGAGAACCACCTCCTAAGATTCATTTCATCTCTCCGGGTCTGGACAGGCCCATCCCTTCACCTCCAGGTATCAGCAAACAGCCCCTCCCTGCCCTCAGTGGATCACCTACACACCAAATGCCCACTCAGGACTCAGAGGAGAGGGGTGAGAGTGAAGATCACAGCCCCCCCCCCAAAAAAAAATCAGTTTGCCTTTCCAGAGCTCATACTTCAGCCCAATGAACCCGGGTCAGACTGCTCCTGGAGCTGAGGGAGGAAGCTGGGACCTGAGAAATATCCCCTCCTCTTTAGGGGGTGGGGGAAGAGCTTGGACCCAGTGGCTTCGTCCCCCCCCCCCAGCACTCTGACCCGAACCCTGCCACCACCCCTAGCGCATTCCCACCCCGGCAGAGCCCCCTCCTACTGCTTTTCCAGTCTCCCATCACCCCGGCCTTCCCCCCCGCCCCAAGCTTCCGCTCCTCTCCCCCAGACACCCCCCCAATCCTGCCCAGCGCTCCCCCAGCACAGACCTGTCTCTGCCTCCCAGCACCTTGGCATCCCCCCCCCCTCTGCTCTCTCCCATAACCTCCTCTCCCCTTGGCTCCCATCCCCCAGGAAAGCCTGGTCCTCACTGGCTCCCCCAGACCAAGCGTGGCCCCGGCTCCTTTCCTCTCCACTTGTCTCCTCTCTCCTCCTCCTCCTCCTCCCACGAAGCCCGGAGCCTCGTTGGATTTTCCCCTGCAGACCCTTCAGCGCACAACAGCTCACAGCCCCTCTGGCCCAGCACCGCTGCCAGCTCCTGGAGCCGGCACAGACCGGGGACCCTCCCCCTCCAGAGCCCCTCTCCCGAACCTCCGGATGCCCCTCCCTCCCTCCCCATCCCTTCCCCCAACGACCCTCCCTCCCACCCTCCTCCACGCGCCCCAGCTCAGGGCTAATGCCCCTTCCACCGGAGCCTCCGGGCCCCCGGACGCCCCCCCAGCGGCTTCGCCTTCTCGCTGACACCCAGCCAAAGCTCTCACGGCGCCCCCGCCCCCCACCCAGCTCCCTGCCTCCCCCGCCCCCTCCGACCCGCTCCCCTCCCCCGATCGGCTCCCGCCCCCCGCCCGTCTCCGCCGCAGCCCCCCCCCCCCGTACCTGGTTCTGGGGGCGCCAGGAGCTGGAGGGTGGGGAGCGAGAGCTCCGGGGACGCTGCGTCTCCCACAGGTGACAGATTCGGGGCCGGCGGTACGGGCCGCCTCGCGCCTCGGTCCCCGCCGCGTCCCCGCCCGCCCCGCCGCGGTGCCGCTCCGAGGAGGAAGCTCCGCGAGTCAGGGCGGCTGCTCCCGCCGCCGCATCCCTGCAACACCGACTGACGGAAGCATCAGCACCAGGGCCCGCCCCCCGGGCGCGCGCATTGGGCCGCGCTGCGCTAACGGACGGGCGGCGCAGCCAATGAAAGGCGTGGAAACCGTCAGTCCCGCGGCTCCCCAGACCCACCTCCCGCCCCGCCGCGGGACCCAGGCGTCCCGGCCCCGGGCACAGCCGCTCTTCCCCGCCCCGCCAGGTCTTTAGCCGGGGCTCCGGCGCCAAGCAGGCAATAGCCTCAGTGTCTTTTCCAGGCTCCCTCGCTCCTCGCCCCTCGGGTCAGGTCCTGGGGTTCCGCACAGCCCCTCACCTTGCCCGGCAAGTCTGGGTGGCAGCGCCCAGGACTGGCACGAGCCAGAGGCGAGGCTCGAACCCAGACCCGAAGCTCCGAGGAAACAGGACGCGTGCGGGGCCTGGGCCGCAGCACCCCCTGCTGGCTGCACCCAGGGGCGGCCCGGACTGCGGGGAGCTTAGGGAAGGGACCCCGGCTGGATGTTGGGGCCCAGGAGAGGGGAGGGCCCAGAACTGAGGGTGGGGTCGCTGGGACAGGGAAGGCAGAGATGCAGGCGTGGTAGATCTAGGGGCTTGGGGATGCCCAGCCTCCTGGGGATCCCAGAGTTTGAACCAGACATTCCCCCCCCCCTTTCCTGCCTGGAAGCCAGGGCTGCGCGAGGAGTCGGGGTTTGCAGCCCCGTTACGGGTCTGTCCCCGCTACACCCAGCCATGAGTTTTCGTGCCAGTGTGGTACTGGGGCGCAAGTCTTTCCTGGCAAGGCGTCTGCAAAGTACCAATTGTGGCCGAGGGTGGGGACACTCAGCTGAGAAAAGGTAGATCCAACACCTAGCTAAATTAGACCCCGAGCATATGAATGAGGCAGTGTGGGGTTGTGTGAAGACCAGACCATTTTGCCAGCTCCCTCCAGGACCTTGATTTCTGTTGCAGGGCCTGTGATCTGCACAGCTGGTGGTAGCTGGCATTTCCTTAGCCAGAGGCAATATGCAAGAACATGCATTTAAGCCACGGATGCATGCATTTGCATTTGGGGGGCATACACAACTATCCCAGAACACTGATGTTCCACATGCCTGCAGATGCGCCCCAACAAGGGAAACACAGCCAGGTGTGCACACAGGTACCTTGCACATTCAAAGGTACACACATGTCCAGGGAGCCCGGCACACACAGAGGAGCTGCCCGCCCACGGGGTTCCCTGCCCTCCGCCCCCGCCCCAAGCGCTTGGCAGAAAATAGTCAATGAATGAGTGGATGGATGTGGACACTCTCCCTAGGGGATTCCCTTCAGCAGCCTGTCAGAGGCTGAGACTACTGGGGTGTCTCCAAAAGGGTGGGGAAAGGGAGAGCCCTGCACCAGGTGCCACACTGGAGGCCTGCCCTGACCTTGGAGAGACCCTCAGGCCGTCCCCACCAAGCCACTGAGAATGGGAACTGCTGAGTCAGGCAGTAGCTGGGAGGCCGCCTCTCTCGACCCCACAACCCACTGCCCCACCCATCCTCCACCATTCCTCCCCTGCAGCCTCTCCCTCCCTCCCTCTCTCTCTTTCTCTCTCTCTCTCTCTCTCTCTCTCACGCGCGCACACACACACACACACACACACACACACACACACAGAGGCATCAAGCATATAGGGGCAGGCAAGAGTGCAGCGACTCACAAAGACAACTCTCAGACCATGGACAAGGCTGGGAGGGAGGGAGGGAGGAGAGGGTGAGCACTTGTTTCCTGTCCCCACCCTCAGCTTTGCCCACAAGGGCAGGAAAGGTCACCTGGCTGCTTTGCCACCTCCCTGCCCCTCCCCCTACAGAGATGTCTCCCAGAAAGTCCTAGATGCATACCCTTAGAGCCTGGGGGACCCACTACCTCCATCAAGACCCGCCCCCCACACACAGGTACCCACCCCAGGGGGCACTCCTGGGATATACTGAGCACATGGCCTTCTCTCAGACACACAGGCCAATGCCGGCCCACCAGGGAGCAGCAAATACAGTGTGCAGGTCCACACATATGCACAGGCACACACATGAATAGGCGCACATGCACACACACACACACACACACACACACACACAATGGCAAGCTCAGACATCAAATTTTGACACCTGAAAAGGCAGACACGCATCACACCCTGGGCAGGGCAGCCTTGAGTGTCACAGATGCCTGTACACACACTGGGCTGGGCGAGGCCAGGCTGGGGGCCCGGGGGGGGGGGGGGGGGAGCCCACCTCCAGGAGGCAGGGATGGGATGGAGACAGTGCGGGAGGCGGGCAGCACCGGAGCAAGCTGCTCTTCACCACACAATCGCCGTCTGTTGTTATAGCAACTCAGCCCCCAAATCGTGAAACGGATATTACAGCCTCCAGAGGGGGAAGGGGGGGCTGAGGACAGAAGGAGGGGCAGAGCAGGGGACCCAATAAGGGACAGACCTGAAGCTGAGGTATGACAGGGAGGCAGAAGGGGGTAACCCAAAATAAGGAACAGGCCAGAAGTGGAGTGGACATGGAGAGATGGACATGAAGCAGGGGACCTTAGGGCTGGGGGAACACATTCATGGAGGGGGTGAGGGGGGGGAGTGAGGCCCTGCCAGGTCCGTAGATATTGTACTGGGCAAACAGAAGTTAGGGATGCATTTCTACCCCCCAGAACAGTCCCACTGTTTCTGTAGGAACCCCCAGTTTGGGGTGCAAGAAAGATAACTCTCATTCTCAGGACACCTATGTAGTCCCTTGAACCCTAAGGTCAGAATCCTTAGGAAACTCCCAGCCACCCCAAGAAGTGGCCTTGGACTTCAGGTAGTGGTGACCCCCAAAACCTCACGGGTCAAGCTCAGGAGGGAGGAAAAAGCAGGGCAGGGAGAGGCCTTCTCCGGAGGCTGAGTGCAGGATCAATATGCATTTCCTCTGGAAGTCACCGTCCTTCAGGCTGGCAGCAGCACCCAGCCAGGAGCTGCGGGACCAGGGAGCACCGCCCCCACCCTGAGGTTCCCTAGCCAGCTCTGGCCTTCATGGCTAGAGCCCAGTGCTCTTCTTCCAGGATTCCTGCAGTGAGTACTTTGTAGCTGCAAGTATTCAGACCACTTGTTTTGTTTTGTTGTCATCATGGGGCTTGAACTCTGGGCCTGGATGCTGTGATGCTGTCCGTCTGCTCTTCAGCTCAAGGCTAGTGCCCTACCACTTGAGCCACAGCCGCACTTCCAGCTTTTTCTGCTAATACGGTGCTGAGGAATCCAACCCAGGGCCTCATGCATGCAAGGCAAGCACTCTACCACTGAGCCACCTGCCCAGCCCCTCAGACCATTTGTTTAATAAAAGAATTTTACTTAAGAGCTGAAGGCTCTGGTGTTATATGACCACTGGGCCCAGTCATTCTGGGGTACAAAGATGCACTAGTTTTTTGGGGTTTGGTGGTTTTTGGTTTTTGTTGTGGTTTTTTGGGGTTTGGCTTTTTTTTTTTTTAACTAATCAGGGCCTGGGTGCTATCCCTGAACTCTTTTGTTCAAGGCTAGCACTCTACCACTCTGAGCCACAGCTCCACTTCTAGTACTTTTTGTGCTTAATTGGAGATAATTGTCTCACAGACTTTCTTGCCTGGGCTGGCTTTAAACCACAATCCTCAGATGTCACCCTCTTGAGTAGCTAAGACTACAGGTGTGAGCCACCAGAGCCTGGCTAGATGAACTGGTTTTAGGTCATAAGTCTGGGCTCAGATTCTAGGCCCTTCCCAAGATTCTTCAATTCCAAGGTTCCATACCTCCACCCAGATTCCAGACCCATGTGAGATTCCAGGCCTCCCACACTTCCCTGGTTACAGAGTTCAAGATCCTTGCCGGGCATTGGTGGCTCACGCCTGTAATCCCAGCTATTAGGAGGCTGAGATCTGAGGATCTCAGTTCAAAGCCAGACCAGACAAGAAAGTCTTGAGAGACTCTAATCTCCAGTAAACCACTCAGAAAACCAGAAGTGGCGTTGTAGCACAAGTGGTAGAGCGCTAGCCTTGGAGCTGAAGAACTGAGGGACAGCGCCCAGGCCCAGAGTTCAGGCCCCAAGACCTACCGAAAAAAAAATCTCTATAAGCACATATTCTTGCATTGCCCATTCCCCCTCCCACCCTGCCCTGGCCCCCCCCCACACACACATACACACACACACACACATACACACACACACACTTCCCAGCCAGGATTCTAGGCTCTGATGGTCCAGGTTAATTACATGGGCCTTTTTATTCCATCTGGAAAATACAAATATTCACAAGAGTCTGTACAACCTTAGGGACACCAGCCCTGGCCCTTGCTGTCCATGCATGCTACCCTTACACCCCACCTCCCAGCCCCAGCCTCCTCTTGTCCCGCCCCCCTCCCTGAACCCCAGGCTCCCTATTCTGGTCCCAAGACTTTTTTTTTCCCCAAGGCAGGAATGAATCCTTGATGCAATCACATCTGGGAAGAGATAAACAAAACACAGGTTATGAGGAGGACATTCCCCTAATGGGGGGGGGGGAGGGGGGGAATGTGCCTGAGTCATCTATTTCCCAGCACCACCCCTGACTCACCCCAGCCCTTGATGGGGAGCACTGCCAGCACCAGGGAGCACTCACCATCTCTTACAAGTGGATGTCAAACACTCCATCCTCCACCGTCTGCACCTCCTCCTCCCGGATCTCTGTGGGGACGGGGTGGGCGGGGGGGGGGGGGGGGGGGGGAGGGAAGGGGTGTCACAGAGCCCACCTTTAGATCCCTGTGATGCCAGCAGCCCCCCTCGTCACAGGGGACCCCACCCTCAGCTGCCAGTAAGCAATTCCCTGGATGACCCCACGACCCCATTTTTGTTGTTTCTCTAAGTTTTCTTTCTGCCACAGCCACTGATCTCTCAGTGTAGTTTGCTTAAATGTCAACGCTATGTACATTTCACCCAACCCTTCTGCAAGGTTCAATGCAAATGGTTTTATCTTCTCTATTTTTAAGGACTTACGCCAACCCAAGCAGCCAACTGCCTTAGACCCTCAGGTCAACACAGTTATTTATCGAAACCATTCTCAAAAAAAAAAAATCATTTAACAAGCTGTCACTTAGCAAACTGATGGGAAACTACCACCGGAGAGTGCCCCCCACCCCCCAAGACAGCTGCGCACCCCAGAGTTATCACAGCAGAAGGACTTTTGTCAGAATAGCCTAAAGGAGAACTGCAGGCAAAGGACTCACACGACTCCAATCCTTTGTCAACCCTCACTTGTCCCATTGTCCTCTCCATTAGCAGCCAAAGGCGGAGAATTACAAAGTCTGGAATGGCCTCCATTCTGCTCGGGTTGCCACAGAGCCCTGCCTATCCCCTGCCAGCAGAGTTCAAGGCTCCCTCTTACCAGGGGGCCGGGACCCACGCCTGCCAGGGCGGGGCAGGGAGAAGCTGAAGGCCCGATGGTGGGAGTGCGTGGGAGACGGAGAGGGCACAGAGCCCTCCAAGCTCACACTCTGGGCCCTGCGCCGGCACTCCACCGACAGGCGGTCCTTGCACTGTTTGTGGCAATTCACACCACAGGCTGGGGGAGGGAAGAGGGGGAGGCCAGTCAGGGGCAGCTGCCCCACCAAAACAAGAGCCTTCTTCCAGAGTGCTCTTGTCCTAATAACCAGTCCCTAGCCCCTCTCCAAAGTACCTCCCCAAAACAAAAAAGCTTCCCATCAATCCGCATGCCTCTTTGCTTCCCAGGTCCTGCACTTGGTGGCAATCACCCCTCCAAAGCAAAAACCACGACCCAGATAGCCGCTCCAACACCCCAGCCCAGCAGCCCGGCAATTTATTCCATCTTACCTCTGCACTTAAGACCCTGCTTGTAGATGCCCAGAATCTGCAAAAGAAGTGGGGGCCACGCTGGGGGGATAGGGATTTAGAGGTGATGACCACCTCCTCCTTACTGAGAGCAGGGGTCTAAAAGCCTGCCTGGGGGGCCTAGGGCAGGAGAGCAAGGGGCAAGTGGCATTACTGGTTGTGAAGGTTGACCTGGATTGAGGCCTTCCCTCGGGGGCGTGGCTAACAGCGGGGGCGGAGCCGCCAAAGGGGCTAGGCCGAAGGGCGTGGCCGGGGAGGGGCGTGGCCATTCGGGGGAGGGGCCAGTCGGAAGTGGGAGGGGCTAGTTGGAAAGGGCAGGGCGTGGACCAAGGCTGCCCAGCTCTGGAAAGGGAGGTCGGCAGAGGTGACTGGGGCTCACCAAAGCTTTGCAGTGGCGGCAAGCGACCGGACGCAAGGAGTTGCTCTCCTGGAAGTTGTGTACGAAGCCCATTCGCCCCCCCAGCACGGAGCTGGAGCGCAGGAAGTAGGAGATCATCTCCTCCCGGCTAATGCAGCCATCCCTAGTGTGGGGGTGGGGGGGGTACCTCAGCTCTGGCCTTCCCCATGGGCTGCCCATCGTCGGCCTCACACACCCCGCTAGGGAGCCCCCTGACTTTGAACTTCTGGTAACAGGGAAGAAGGAAGCCAGACACAAGGACCAGCTGCCACTAATCAGTCGTGAGGTTTTGGCCAAGACACCTTCCTGACAACAACGGGCGATCATATTCCTGCCCAGCCCATGGGGTCACGCAGGCCAAAGTGTATTCTGCAGGACCTGCTGGGAGGGACCCCTCCCGCCATGAGTTCTGGGGTTGAGCGTGGAGTGAGCCGCACCTGCATGGATTCCACCCGCCTCTCCCCAGGCTCCCCTCTAACCCAGTCTCCTGCGGGGGGGGGGGGGGGGGGGTCCTTCCACCTGCGGGTGTATTTTTAAAGGAAGAGGGTGCATGAATGCTGGTCAGCGACTTCAGTTCAAACCCCAGCCTTATTTAACCACATAGGACTTGAAGCTGTTTGACCACCCAGTGCCTCAGTGTCCTTCTTACCGAATGGGCTTCAAGTGTATTTCCCTACACTTCAAATTTTTGTGTGTGTGTACAAGAGTCAGTGTGGGCAGCAGGCCTTGTCTGAAACTTCCACCTATTATATTTGGGGTTCTAAAGTGTGATCCCCAGTGTTCTTCCAAGTCAGTGGAGCATTGAAGACAACTGGCCATTTTGAAAAAAAAAAAATTATCTAAGGTATGTGAGCTTTATCCTGTACATGAAAACCACAATCTTGCTGATTATGGACACTGATGGAGGGGTAAGAGGCCCAAATGGTAGAGTGTCAGTCAATGAGCAAAAGCATCAGGTACTGAGTTCGAATCCCAGTCTTGGACAAAAAAAAAAAAAAAAGAACCCTGATGAAAAGCAAGTAAAATTCTGAAAGTATCCAGAAAGACAGGAGGAAAGCTTTTTGTGATTTCGAGGGGTTGAGAAGTGTCTTCTTACACATAACAGAAATCTGCCTGAGAAGTCATAAAGGAAAAGACTGACATAGTGAACACACAAAACTTTTGAAATTTTTATACGGAAAAGACAACATAAATGACAGACAGGGAAGAAATATTTGCGAACACATTCGACAGCAACGGGTTAATATCCATTAACACAGATTCTTAAAAAAAAATCAATAAGAAAAAGACCAACAAACCCAATAGAATAATGGACAAAGAATAGGAGCAATTAGCAGAAGAAATAGAAGTGGCCCATAAATGTCTGAATAGATAGCCCCCCTCTCATTTGTATTAAAGAAATGCAAATGTAACCAAGACACCGTTTGCCAAGACTGGCAAAATTGTAAAGCTTATTTTAGCCTGGTTCTTGGCAGGGAGGTTGGGACACACAGGCACTTGTACGCTGCTGACTTGGGGGGTTGCTGGTATAACCTTGTCTGAGGTCAGTTTGGCAGCCTCTCTCCTAATTTTTAAATGTGTACCTCATTTGATCCAATTATCCCACTTCTAGGAATTTCTCCTACAGAAATACTGGCCTGAGTGTACGGGTACACGGGTGTTCCCAGCAGCATGGCGTATAATTATAGCACAACGCTGGAGCCTTGTGCATGTCCTTCAACAGAAAGGATGGCTAGGTAAATGATGCCCAGCCAGCCTGTGCAGCTGTTCCCAAGAATGAACTCGTTCTACATAAATCCATATGGGAAGATAGCCAGGATAAGGGGTTTAGTGCAAAGCAAAAGCAAAAGGGAAAAAAAAAGTGAGGAGTTCAGTTCTGTCAAGACAGTGACAAAAACAAAGGTGAAAAGAAAAGAATGAAAATGAGCCCTGGTGGCTCAAGCCTATACTAAACTACTCAGGAGGTGGCGTTCAGGAGGACTGGTCCAGGCCAGCCTTGAGTGTATGGGAGGGGTCCACAAAACTCCTTCTCAAACAATAGCTGGGCCCAGTGGCAGGTGCCTGTCATCCTAGCCAAACAGGAGGCTGAGATCAGGAAGACAGCAGTTCTAGGACAGCCAAGGCAGAAAAGTCCATGACTCCTTCTTGTTCAACAGAAGAAGCTGGGTATAGTCATGCATGTCTGTCATCCTAGCTATGGACAGAAGTAAAAAAAAAAAAAAAAAGAAAGAAAGAAAGGAGGATCACAGTCCAGACTAGACTAGACTGGTCCTTCCAACTAGAAGGAAGACCCTATTTGGAAAATAAATAGGACAAGATAGGTGCTGGTGGTTCATGCCCATCTTTCTAGCTACTTGGGAAGCTAAGACCTGAAGGATTGAGGTTCAGAACCATCCACAAGACTCCATCTCCAAAATAATCAGTAAAATGCCAGAATGGAGGCATAGCTCAAGTGGTAAAGCATCAGCTGTGAGCAAGAAAGCTGAGTGGCCTGCGTACCAGTGGCTCATACTTGAATCCTAGTTACTTAGGAGGCTGAGATCTGAGGATCCTGGTTCAAAGCCAGCCCAGGGCAGGAAAGTCTGTAAGACTTTATGTCCAATTAACCACCACCTCCAATTAACTAAAGTGAAGCTGTGGTAGAGCTCTAGCCTTCAGTGACAAAGCTCAGGGACAGCACCTAGGCCCTGAGTTCAAGCCCCACAACTGATTTAAAAAAAAAAAAAAGCTGAATGACAGCTTGAAACTCTAAGTTCAAATCCTAGTATGTGGTGGCTCACGCCTGTAATCCTAGCTAATCAGGAGGCTGAGATCTGAGGATTTCGGTTCAAAGTCAGCCCAGACAGGAAAGTCCAGGAGACTCATCTCTAATTAACCACCAGAAAATTGGAAGTGGTACTGTGGCTCAAGTGGTAGAGCAGCTAGCCTTGAGCTGAAGAGCTGAGGGACAGCACCCAGGCCCAGAGTTCAAGCCCCACAACCAACAAAAAGAAAAAAGAAAAAAAACCTCCTAGTTCCAGCACAAAAATAAACAAAATAACTAGTACCAAAAAGAATTGAAGGAATGACTCAGTGGTAGCGTGCCTGCCAAGCATGCAGAAGGCCCTTGAGTTCAAACCTCAGTAAAAGAAAGAAGAAAGAAAAAGAGAAAGGGGATGAAGGTGGGGGGAAGAAGGAAATCTCAATGCTACAAATATCTAGATGCTGGTTTGCTGGTTTAAAGTATATCAAAAATCGCTTTAAAACTGGGTGCTTGTGGCTCATATCTGTAATACTAGTTACTCAGGAGGTTCAGATCTGAGGACTGTGGTTTGAAGCCAGCTTGGGCAGGGAAGTATGAAATTCTTATCTCCAATTAACTACCTAAAAAGCCAAAGTAGAGCTGTGGCTCAAGTGGTTCAAGTGGTAGTGTCCTAGCCTTGAACAACAACAACAAAAAACAACCTCAGAAAAAGTGCCTAAGCCCCAAGTTCAAAAACATTTTTTTTGTTTTATATGCATAGATGACTTTTCAAAACATGGAAGCCTCAAGCTCAAGAAATGAGAGAACTTTGGGACAAAGCCAGGAGCTGGGGGCTGGTTGTGGGAGCAGGTTTCTGGTCTTCAATGGATTTTTGTTTTGTTTTTTACCTCTTGATTTTGTGGCGGGGAGGGGGGTCCTGGAGAATGTTGGGGGGGACAGTACTAAGAATTGAACTCAGTGTCCCCTGCACTCTACCATTTGAGCCATGCCCACCCCAGGACTTTTGCTTTTAGTTGCTTTTCTTTTTTGCTGGTCCTGGGTGCTGTCCCTGAGCTTCTTTTGCTCAAGGCTAGCGCTCTACCATTTGAGCCACAGCGCCACTTCCAGCTTTTTCTGAGTAGTTTATTGGAGATAAGAGTCTCATGGGCTTTCCTGACTGGGCTGGCTTCAAACCGTGATCCTCAGCTCTCAGCTTACTAAGTAGCTAAGATTACAGGCCTGAGCCACTTTTAGTTGGTTTTAGCCCAGCTTTTAGTTGGTTTTTTCAGGCTTGGTCATAATCCTTCTATTTCTACCTCCTGATTAGGTGTGCTGACAGGTGTGTACCAACACTGCTTACTTATTGGATAAAACAGGGTCTTGATAACTTTTGCCTGGTCTGACTTCCAAACTATGAACTTCTTGATCGAATCTTCCTAAGTAGCTGGGACAGGAATGACATACCTAACTTACTGTGGAGTTTTGTTATATGGAGAGGGAAAAAGAAAAAAAAAAAAAACAAGAGTTTTGAAATACAGGTCATATTTAAAAATAAATCGACCTGGCATGGAGTGTAAATTTTGATTGGGATTTTGTCTGCTCAGCAAAAAAATGGAGCATAAACATGGTGGGAGAGGGCATGGCTAACCTACTTCAGAGAACCAGCTGCTTTCCTGAATTGTCAGCATCTGAATTGTGGCTAAGTGGGTGCTGCGAATTATAGGCTTTTCTTTTTTCTTTCTTTCTTTTTTTTTTGTGCTGCCACTGGGGCCTGAACTCAAGGCCTCTTTCACTCAAGGCTGGCCCTCTACCACTTGAGCCACACTTTCACTTCCAGTATTTGTGTGTGTGTGTGTATCAGTCCTGGGTTTTGAACTCAGGGCCTGGGTGCTGTCCCTGAGCAAAAGTTTTGCTCAAGATCAGTGCTCTACCACTTGAGCCACAGAGCCATTCCTGCCTTTTTCTGAGTAGTTTATTGGAGAGAAGAGTTTCAGGGACTTTTCTGCTCAGGCTGGCTTCGAACCGTGATCCTCAGATCTGTCTTCTGTGTAGTTAGGATTACAGGTGTGAGCCATCAACACCCAGTTCTCGGGACTTTCTTATCTACTCATTAAACCCGGGGCTCCACTTGCCCATACTTTGGCCACCGTGAGCTTCATAAATAAAGCAGCCTTCATGTGGCAAAGGTCCCTGGGCTCACCATCTTTGAAAGACTCAGGTGGAACCTAAACTAATACAATACTAATACTGTTTCTGTAGTCAGCAGCCTCTTCTCACCCCAAAACATAGCCACCCCCCTCCCCCACCATTGACTACTTCCCAGTCAGCCAAGGCCATCTGGGTCAACGGCCTCTTCTTGCTCATGAAGGGGAAGTGGACAGGGCGCCTTCCCTCTCCCCCAGGCCCCAGCCCAGTCCTCACTGGTTCTGGTCGAGGTCCCCAAAGGTGCTGAGGTAAGGGAAGTTGCCCCGAATGATCTGGAATTCCTCCTGGGAGATGTGGCCATCGCCATCAACGTCAAAATTCCGGAATACAGACTAGGGGTGTACAGAGTGACAGGCAGAGGCAGAAGAGGGGATGAATAAAAGGTTCATGAGGGCCCGTCCCTCCCCACAGGCCCGTCTGTACTCTAAAGAGAGTCACAGATGTTCCCCACCACCCCGCTCCCTAACCTGCCCTTCCACCCAGCAGCTGGCCTGCGGCCAGGCCCCGTGCCCCAGTGCCTCTTGTTCCGTACACTGTGACACTAGTGCTGTGTCATAGGGCAGGACTCTGGCAAAGCTGGCATTTACCGACTACCACTTCCACCAGCGGACTTTGGTCTCTGTGAAGTCTCACCTCCACCATCTTCTCAATGTGTTCTGCCACAAGGGCCTGGTCCAGCTTGGGCTTGGCAGCTGAGGTCCACTCTTCTAGCACGGGGGGCCGCGGAGGTGGGGTGCAGCTTGTGGGGCTGGTCGGCTGCAGGAGTGGTCAGACCTGAGCTAGGAAGTGGTGGCAGCCCAGGACCCAGAAAAACAGAGAGAGGATCTGGGGCGGTGGGGGGGGGGGGGGGGCCGAGGGAGGAGGCAGCCCTCCCTAGCCCAGCGGTTCCCCCCAGGATCCCTCTGTCAGGCCGGCAGAGCCTCCAGCTGGGATGGATTCTTGGGCAGGGCAAAGTGGAGAGCTGGGGCTCCTCCCTCACCGAAGACTTGGAGCGTGGTTCTCGCTGCAGAGATAGTTGGTACAGCTCATCCTCCGTCTGATACTGGTCCAGAGACACCTGGGACACACAAGTCGGCTCTCATCCTCTGGCCAGGGCTGTTCCTACAAGCCCCCAGCCCAGGGCTATAGGGCCACCTAGAGGCCACAGCTCGGCCAGACCGTAACCAAAGGTAGACTCAGAACACGCAGTAGCAACCTACTGCTCTGGCCAGGACTCACACAGCTTGGCCCCCAACTTTGAACCCAATGCACTGCCAAACTCCCAAACAGGAAGCCAAATCAGAACTCAGCCCCAAGCTGTGAAATCCATCCAGAATCCAGCTCAGATTGCAACCCCAGCCCCAGCCACAAGCCGCTAAGAAAGAATCCACTCCAAACCCTCCAACTTCATTCCCAGTCTGTCACCTAAAAATCTTATACCAGGCTGGGAAGGTGGCTCAGTGGTAGAGCGCTTGCCTTGCATGCACGAGGCCTGCCCTGGGTTCGATTCCTCAGCACCGCATAGGCAGAAAAAGCCAGAAGTGGTGCTTTGGCTCAAGTGGTAGAGCACTAGCCTTGAGCTGAAGAGCTGAGGGACAGTGCCCAGGCCCAGAGTTCAGGCCCCACAACAGGCAAAAAAAAAAAAAAAAAATCGAACCATTCTAGCTGGGTGCCAGTGGCTCACACCAGTAATACTAGCTACTCAGGAGGCTGAGATCTGAGAATTGAGGTTTGACACCAATCCAGACAGGAAACTTCATGGACTCTTATCTACAATTAACCAGCAAGAAGCTGGAAGTGTGACTCAAGTGGTAAAGCACCAACACTGAGCAAAAAAGCTATAGGACAGCGTCCAGGCCCTGAGTTCACACACACACACACACACACACACACAATAGATAGATAGATAGATAATTTATAGACCTCAACTCCCACTCTAGACCTCCAAACTTGAATACAAGGCCAAAACTTAGCTCAGAGCTCACTGCCACATTAGAATCCACCCCCTCTCACCCTGCCACTGAATCCAATCCACAGGCTTGAGCTCAGCCTCAAATCTTAAACACAATCCAGTGACAGGGACTCATCCTAGAACCCAAAGCCCAGGCCCAGGCTCCAGTGCAGCCCCACAGGCCACACCGCACCTGGGAGCCATCTCAGTGCTTACTGCCCAGGCCACATCTCAGTTCCTTGGCCAGAACCCAGAAGCCCAGGCCAACCCCACAGGCAGGGCCAGCCGTCAGCCCCTCACCATGAGCAGGCTCAGCAGGTCATGGTTGGCCTGCATGGGTGGCCTTAAGCTGGTCACCATGGCCAGCTGCTCCAGGATGCTGAAAAGCTGTTTCATCTTGGTGCCATTGAGCCGGGTGCGGGCAGGGTCCAGCCAGTCGGGCAATGCCAGCTGCAGGGCCACCAGATCCTTGAGATGCACACCCAGGATAGGAAAGCGGAAGCCCACACAGGCTGCCAGCCGGCGTCGGTAGTTACCGTAGTTGCCTGCGGCGGTCACCAGTTCTGTCAGACTTTCCCAGAGCTGTGAAGCAAAGGACAGAGGGTCACTCACAGCATTCACGGGTACCCCACTCACCCTCAGTCCTGGGGTGCAGAAAAGGACGATGATCAAGGGCAGGGATAGGAGAAAAGGCAAAATCCTCCCCAACTCTCCCCTACCACCAGTCCCCTCAACCTCTAGAAGTTAGAGTTCACAGGTCATGAGTTCAAGATAACATCTATTGCCAAATACCACACCTCTACACCGGACCTGGACAAAGGTTATCTTCGACTAAGGCTTGAACTCTGGGTCTGGGCACTGTCCCTGAGCTCCTTTTACTCAAGACTAGCAATCTACCACCTGAGCCATAGCACCACTTCCGGCTTTTTCTATGCTTGTGGTACTGAGGAATCGAACCCAAGACCTCATGCATTTGAGGCAAGCACTCTACCACTAAGCCACATTCCTAGGCTCACTGACACTTAGTAGAAGAAGAAACTGAGGGCCTGGGTGCTATCCCTAAGCTTTTGTGCTCAAGGCTAGTGCTCTGCTACTGTGAGCCACAGCAATAATTCCAGCTTTCTGGTAGTTAACTGGGATAAGATTCTCACAAACTCTCCTGACCAGGCTGGCTTTGAATCATGATCCTCAGATCTCAGCCTCTTGAGTTGCTAGGATAACATGAGCCACCAACACCCAGCTTTTTTTTTTTTTTTTTTTTAACAGTGCTGGGGGTGGAATCCAGGGCCTTTCCACGTGCCAGGCAAGTGCTCTGCTACTGAGCTACACCCCCGGCTGGAGTAATACTGTTTTATTTCTTGAGCTGAAGATGGTTACACAAGCATTTTATGGGGTTGGTTTGGGGGGGGGGGGTTGTGGGGGAAGGATAGGTATTTTAGTTTTTGTTCTTAAAAGAATATTTCACTGGGGCTGGGAAGGTGGCTCAGTGGTAGTGCTTGCTCTGCATGCATGAGGCCCTGGGTTCGATTCCTCAGCACCACATAAGCAGAAAAAGCCAGAAGTGGTGCTGTGGCTCAAGTGGTAGAGCGCTAGCCTTGAGCTGAAGAGCTGAGGGACAGCGCCCAGACCCAGAGTTCAGGCCCACGACTGACAAAAAAAAAAAGAATATTTTACTATGTAGTCCAGGCTGGCTTTGAACTTGAGTTCATCCTGCACCCTCTGCCTCCCCAGTGGCTGGGATTACAAGCATGCCCCATCGGGTCCAGCTTTACACACAGACATTTTCTTTGTCATTTGTCTTTCAACTGTCCTAATGTTTTACATACATTTCTATAGCTCTATTGCCCAATTGTGTGTGTGTGTGCTCGCACGCGCACGCACAGTGGTTCTGGGGCTTGAACTCAGGGCCTGGGTGCTGCCCTTGAGCTCCTTTGTGCTTGAGTCTAGCGCGTTACCACTTGAGCCATAGTGCCACTTCTGGCTTTTTCTGAGTAGTTTATTGGAGATAATGAGTCCCAAGGGACCTCTCTGCCTAGGCTGGCTTTGAACCCCAATCCTCAGACCTCAGCCTCCCCCCGAGTAGCTAGGATGACAGGCGTGAGCCACGGGTGCGCGCAGCTTTTCTCCAATAGTTTTATAAAAATAGGAAAAAGCACCAGCTCTGGGGTCAGGCAGGCCAGGGCACCTCCCCCTTCCGCCTGCATTGCGAAACCTCGGGAAAACTCTTAACCCCTTCAAGCCTCCAGTTTCCTCCACCGGCAGAGGCAGACAATAATGGCCAGCCCCAGCCCTGCAGTTGAGAAGGTGGCAGACGGGAAGCCCAGGCCCCTCCCAGGTCCCCGAGCACCTTGATGGTTTCAGGGCTGACGTGGCTGTGGGTCTCCTTGAGACGGGAGATGGAGCTGTGGCTCAGGCCCCCGACCACCGCCATCAGCGTGTTGAAGTTCTGAAGCTGCAGCAGCTTCTGGAGACACACGAGGAGGGAAGGCAGTGAGCAGAGAGGAGGCCAGGAAAAGGCGTGGCCTGCCTGGCCCGAGGATGCACTGAGGGTGCGGGGAGGGAGGGCACCTCTGCCACGTGCACAAAGTGCGTGATGACCAGCGCCCGCTGAGGGGCGGTGGGCTTGCTGAGGATCATGAGCTGCACCCACTGGGAGACGCTGTTGAACAGGGAGATGAATCGCTCCAACACCGGGTTGTCCACCGTGCAGCCGTGAGTCACAAAGCTATGGTAGTCCTGAAACTGAGGGCAGGTGTGTGGGGGGGGGGGTGTGGCTCAAAGGTGGGGTCCCCTCCCCACACCCATGGCTGCCCTTTTGTGAGCCCTTCAACTCTCCCTGTGACCCAGCCTGGTCCAAAGACCCTGCTTTCCATGGAACTTCCCCCCGCCTTCCCCGCCCATGCTGGATCCCCACCACAAGCCCTTGGGCCACACCAGGATCTTGGAGAAGGAGCGATACTCCAAGTAGGTGAGGTGCTCCGCCAGCTCCATGGGTTCCAGGTGGTCGAACAACAGGGACATCTTGCGCTTTTTCTGTTCCATGGGGTTCCGCTGGGTCACCTGCCGCTTCCACTTGTATGTGGGGCTGGGGGAGGAGGGTTGGTGAGGCCGGGCTGGGGTACCCTCTGTCTCCTGTGGCCCCACACCGCACTGGGGCACACTTCGAGCCACTGTCCTACATCCATTTGTCCCCAGTCCCAGCAACGTCTCTGCTTCTCCCCACCTTGCCAGATCTCTCTCCCTCTCTCTCTCTCTCTCTCTCTCACACACACACACACACACACACACACACACACACACACTTCTGGACAACGTACTCTGTGCCAGGCACTGTGCTAAGGCGCGAGGAGACAGAGATGAGCAAGACACGATTCCTGCCCTCGAGGAGCTCACAGTCTACTGAGGGAGACAGACACAGAGACACATGATCACCAGACAGCAGGACACATGGCCCCAGGCCTAGGAGCAAGAGTCTGCACAAAGGGCCATGGGCAGACAGAAAGGAACAATACATTCTGCCCAGCCCTCAACCTGGGAAGCCTTCACACCAGAGCTGAGTCTTGGTGACAAGGAAGAGAGGAACAAGGACAGCGACAAGGGTGAGGATGCAGGGCTCAGACAATGGTGCATGGCCCCCGGTGGAGGCCACAGCAGGAGTGTGGGATGCGCAGTGGCCCGTGGGAAATGAGGCTGGCTGGAAACCATGAAAAAACTTTCACAGCCTACCGGAAGGTAGAGAGCAAGAGAGTGACATGACCCCCATTCATTCGATTCAACAGACATTTATTAAGCGCAGGTGGTGTGGGGTGCTGACCCCCCCACACCCCTGAGGGCCCCCCGCCCCACGCACACGCTCTCGATGTCGATGAGGCTGCTGTGCCGGCGGTTCCCTTCTTGGTCCAGGAGAGCCTTCAGCTCCTTGATCTGCTCAGCCAGCTCAGGGTTCAGGTCAAACTCCGCTGGGAATGCTGAAATCCAGTATCTGGCAAAGGAGTGGAGTCACCCACAGCAGCCCTTCCCCACCATCCCCAAAAGGCGGGGGGGCACCCAAGGTGTTCCATCCACCTTCCCACTGGTCAGCTAGGAACAGGAGGGCTGGGTAGATGGCTGGGCCACACCTGCACAGCCCACCTGAACAGTGCCAGGAGGAAACCCATAGGACCCAAGGGTGCTGTCCACTCTTCCAGCCTATCTGAAGTCTGAGAGAAGGGACAAGGGGAGGGGCTAGGGCCCCAGAGGGAGACTCACCTGACTAGGTGGCACGTCTTCACCTGTAGGGAATTGGAGTTGTCCTTCCGTGATTGTTGGTAGGTGAAGGGCAGTTAAGGGAAACAAGGATGGAGGCTAACACTCAGAAGGGGGCGGAGCCTGATCCCTGACAGGGGTGCGGGGTGGGGCCTGGGCAGGTAGAAACTCTGTAAAAGGTGCGGAGGATGAAGGCCTGGGTTCTGGGAGGATGCTGGGTGAGGCATCAGCGTGGGAGGGGCCGTGGGTGGGAGGGAACTGCTGGATTCTATGGGAGGCTGAGAGTAGGCTCTGAGGCCAGAGCTGGGGCAGATCATAGACCCTAGGGAAGGTGAAGGGCAAAGCCTAGGCTCAGGAGAGCCTTTGTGGCCAGGACAGGAGAGAGGAGGGGAGAGAAAGAGAGAGGGAGAGAGAGAGAGAGAGTGCCCAGGCAAGGAATTGTGGGATACCGGAGGGGCACCAGGACCAGCTCAGGGACAGCAAGACCTGGGAGGCCAGGAAGGATATATGTGGAGCAGTTTGGCCGCCAGCTGGGATGATGGGATGTACCAGGGGTGCATCATGAGGAACATGCGCACCAGCTGCGGATCCCGCACCTTCCCGGAATCATCTAACTCAGAAGGGTCAAAGAGAAGCAGGCTGAAGAGAAGAGACCTTGGTGCCAAAGCTCAGATCCCTGAACCCTAGCCTGCAACCTCCAGAACAGCGGGGCCGCAGCTGCACCACTGACCCTGCCTACCTCCTGCCTTCCCAGGTCTTCTCACAAGCAGCAGGCCAATGGGAAAGGAAAGGCAGGGTGAGAGAGGGGAGTAGGGCTGCACCAGAGACTCAGGAGGGAGCAGAGCTCTGTGGAGGCCCCGTCTTCCAGAGGGAAACCAGCTGGGCCCAAGGAGCCTGGGGGCCCCCCAAAAGTCAAGAATCTAGAGGTCATTTCCTGAATGTTGGGGGAAGGGGCACCCCGTTTGCCAGATAAGTCCACCCCCCACATCTGCCGGAAACAGCTCCCAGGCCTGAGAGATAGTGAGTTCCTCTGGATCCCCATGGGAGACAGATAAGGTCCCTCCTGTGTCAGAGCAGGGACGGAGGTCCTGTCCCTCCCCGCCAGCTATCACCTAAGACCAGGGGAAGGGGACAGGCCATCGGTAGCATGAACATCTCTCTACTCTGCCATGAGGAGGGGCTCTCCTTGAGGCGGGGGTCCTGGCCAGGGTTCTATCTTGAAGCCCAGATCCTGGGGGTGCCGGGTCCTGGCTAAGGTGGGGGAGATCTGTCCCCAGAAGAAGCGGCCCAGATTCTCTGGCTTGGTGTCCCCTCCCGTGCCACTCACCAAAGGCTTCGATGCAACCCCGGAGCAGCTCCTCCACCGTGCAGCCCTTGTCCAGGTCCAGGGTGCTCGCCATGGCCACCAACGCCCCGTAGGCCTGGCCAGGCCGGGCTTAGGAAGGCTCCTCTCCGGCTGGGACCCGGCCCGGTCCTGGGGGAAGCAGAGCTGGAGTCGGCAGGCGACGCGGGCAGCAGCGGGGCGGGGCGGGCACGCCCCCTGCCGGGCAGGGCCGGAGTTGACGCCGCGGTCACTCCCGGGGTTAAACGGCCCCACCGGGGATGGTGCAACCCGCTGGTTGGGAAATGGGCCCACTAGACGCTTCCGGCCCATCCTCCGAGTCGCGGGCGGGAGGGCCGCGGGGCTCCCCGGGGGGGAGGGAGATGGGGGCTCCCCGGGACTCCAGGGGTCGGAGATGCCCCCGTGTCCCCAGGCCCTGCCACTCCTCGCCGCTGCTCCCCAGGCACCTGCAGCGCCCCGCAGCTCGGCGCGGCGCCCCTCCTGCTCCCCTCCCTCCCTCCCAGCCTCCCCTCCCCCGCAGGGTTATTTTGGGAACCCGGAGCCTGAGGGGACCTCGGAGGAATTTCTTCTCCCCGGGATGGGCTGGGGGGGGGGAACCCAGGCCCGCGTGCCCCCGCCCGGGCGCCCCGCGCGGGGGAGGCCCGCCCTCCGGGAGGCGCGGGAGGGGAGAAGCGCATTCCTGGGGCGGGGGAGCCCGGGTTGGGGGGAGGCGTCCGCGGGAAGCCGAGCCTGGGAACGCGCGTGCTCCCAGGCCCCCTCCAAGGGCGGTCCCGGCTCGGCCGGGGTCCCGGGTCCCCTTCCTCCCCCACCTCGCACGGGCGACCTGAGCGCACCGGGTAGGGTGCCCGGGAGGGGGCGCGGGCACCGTGGGGGGGGGTCGTTGCGGGCATGACACCACGAGCGCCCCGATCCTTGGCGGGGACTATGCGGGGACCGACACCTACTCCACACCCGAGTCCTTTCCCGGAGGACAGGGGTCCTCCGGAGGTGCAGGAAGCCCCCACCCCCGGCCCACACGAGGTCACAAGCCCTCACCTCCCGGACCCCGCCGCTCGCACAATGGCACCCGGCCCCGCGCACACCTGCACCCAGGGACCCTCAGGGACACTGCCCGCCCAGCTCGGGGACCCGGGGCGCGGGCGTGGGCCAGGGCGCCTCTCCCACCTACTGGTCCCTGGTCAGCCGGGTCAGCGTCCGGTCCCGCGCGCAGCGGCGCTGACATCTGCGCACGTGTGCACGCAGGTCGGCGCCTCTCCACGCACGGACTCTCCCACACACGCACACACCCCCGTGGGTGCGACACGCCCCTCCTGCCGTGCCTCCCCCTTCGTGCCCGCCCCAGGGCCCCGATCCGAGGAGCCTGGCCCCGAGGACGGGGCGCTGTCCCAACGCGAGCCCGCCATGCCGGGCGGGGTCCTCCGCGGACTTCTCGGGACTTTCCCCCAGCGCCTCGCCCGCAGCCCCCCGCCGGGCTCCGCGGCTTCTCGCCGAGTGACCTTGAGAAGCACTTGGCCTCACGGAGCCTCGATGTTTCCCATCTGTCAAATGGGGGCGTGCAGGGGGAGCCCCCCCGGCAGGGAGGTGCAGGGGAGAAGCGGGCGCGTGCTGGGCGCGCCCCTCCCGCGGGGGCCCGGCGCTCTCCGCAGCTCCCCGGCCTGGGGTCCGAAGACTCCCCACCCACCCTCGTCCCGGTCGGCCGGCGCCGCCCCTCGGGCCGCGCCCTCCTCCGCCCCGCGCCCCGCTCCCGCGCTCCCGCTCACTTACTCTCGGGACCCGCAGCAAGGAGCCCGCACCCGGCCGGCCGGCACCGCCTCCGTGCGCTCCCGCCCGCCGGCCTCGCTGCGGCGGCTGCGGCTCCCGCCCGCTCCCGAAGCTGCGGCCCAGCTCCCCCGCGCCCCGCCCCCTCCCCGCCCCGCCCGCCCCGCGCGGGGCTCCGCACCGCCGGCCGCGCCTCCTCCACTCGGGCTCCCCCTCGCCCCGCACGCGGCCGGGCCCTGCGGCGGTGGCGGCGGCTTAACCCCTCCCCTTACCGTGCCGCACTGCCCCCCGGCCGGGGCTGCGCGCGGGCGGGGCGGGGGCGCCGCGCCCCGAGCCTCGCCGCGGAGGGGGAGGGGGTCTTCCGAAAGCCCCCTCCCCCGCCCCGGACGCTCCTGGGTGTCGATCGGGAGGAAGCCGGGAGGGGCAGGAAGCGGACTGCGGTGGGCAAGGGGCGCCCCGCCCAGCCCCCAGCCCGGGTTCCTGTTTTCGAGACAAACCGTTCCCACGGGGCAACCCGGGCCGGGCGCCTTCCTGCGGGTGGTGGGGGGCCCAGCCCGTGCGGCCGGGCCGAGGGGGCCGAGGGGCCTGGTGACCGTCCGTCCACGGAAGGAGGGGCGAGGACAATCGAGATGGGAGCTGCGGGGCGGGCAGCAGCCCGAGCGGGCGGGGAATGGAAACGTCGCTACCTGCAGAACTAGCCCCACGTCTGGGAACGGGGCGGGGGGGGGGGGTGGCGGGGACTGGAGGCCTGGGCCAAGGCGAGGAGGACCCTGGGAGGGGCAGCCGCAGGCAGTTGGGGTCCCCACAAGCCCTGCCTGGGGGAAGCAGTAACAGTTTCCGGCCATTGGGGTTCAAACACACTCACTCTGAAACCAGCGGCCCCAAGCGTCCCCGCCTCGGGCCGGGAGGCAGATCTCCCCGGCACCGCAGGAACGAGGGACCCAGAAACAGGCCATTTCTGATCCTGTTTCCCCATAATTGGGCGGGGGCGTCGCTCGGTCTGTGACTCTCCCCCTGTCCTGGACCTCCCCCGATTTTAGACTGAACCATAGCCACCTGCTAGGAGACCCTAAAAACGCCGCAGTGGGGCGGGGTTAGGGGAGGAGTCAAGAAGGTGCCAAGCATCTGTAGGCCGGCCCCCTCCTGCACCCCTCCCTAGATAGCGTGCATCCTCCCCAGTCCCGAGGCCTCAGCCCAAGTCCCCTCTTCCAGCCTGAGCGGGCCCCACCCAGGCCGATGCCCCGCCCCCAGCCAGCCAGGCTGGCCGCTGACCTAGTATGGACACAGCACTGGTAAGAGAGGCGTGGAGGGCGACTCTGGAAAAGGGACCAAGTCCCAGGCCACGCCCCAGGGCCGCCTCTCCCCTTCCCTGCAGAGGACGCACCTGCCAGGGTGTGGGGGACAAGGGGGTGATTTTGCTGCAGCTGTTGGGCTCGCCAAAGGCTAAAAATATTTCCCAAAAGAAAGAAGAGTAAAGAAGCTCCCAAGGAGAGTCAATTTATTGGAAGTGGGTACAGCTGGTCAGATAGGAAGGGGACAGTGTTCCTCGATCACACTGGACAAATGAGGGTTCCAGGAAAGGGCGTAGAGACCCAACTCCAGGCTCCCACCCTCTGGAAGAGGAGCTGGATGGAGTTGGCCCAAAGGATTGCAAACAGACACCAGGGCAGGTTTGGGGTTTGGCCTAGGAGTTCAGATCTTCTCATCAGGGGCTGGCAGGCGCTGGTAGGAAGGCTCCACGCCCCAGATCTCCCGGGCATACTGGGCAATGGTGCGGTCGCTAGAGAACTTGCCCGAGGTGGCTATGTTCCGGATGACCATCCTTGTCCATTCTCTTGGGTTCTATAAGCCAAAGGGGAGCTCTGGGTTCACTCCGCCAACAGGGTCCCCACCTTCTGCCTCAACCCAGGCCAGAGCCACTCAAGTCCTGCCAAGCCCAAGTTTGGGATCTCTCACCTTATACAAAGCACTGACTTTCTCCTGGCACTTAATGTATTCTTCATAATCTGCAAAGACTTTAAACCTGAAGTGGGAAAGAAAGACAGGAAGCTCTATGGGCAGCTGGGGCCCTGAGAATGTCGCTGCTTCCAAAAGAGCCTGACCACAAATGCCTAGCACCCCAGCACCCCTGTTGAGCCTCCCCACACCCTCCTGATGCTTGTCTAGGCCCAACAGCCATCTTGCACGGTTGCCTGGCCAGCCTGCTCACCGGTCATGGTGCATGAGCATGTTGACAATGTCCTTGAATAAGTCGGGCTGTTTGGGGGAGAAGAAGCCACTGCTCAGCTGCTCGATGATCTGCCGAAGCTCAGGAATGCGGTCATAGTATTCCTGGGCGTTGTACCTGCCAGGATAGAGCTGGGGTCAACAACCTGCTCCTCCTCTAGAGAAAATCCCAGCCCTAAGCCTCAGAGTCTAAGCCTGGAAATCCTTCTCTAATAGTCCTCTCTCTTTTCTACAGTCACTTTGTGGGTGAGGAAACTGGCCTAGAAGGGACAGAAAAGTGAATCTCAAAGCCAAGGCCCCCAAACAGGGCTCTTCCTACTACACATCACCAGTGGGTTTCCTCTGTGCATGTATTGGGCTGGGCTGTGGCTCAGTGGTGGAGCACTTGCCAAGCATCTGCAAAGCTCTAGGGTTCCATCCCCAGCACCGCCAGAAAAAGAAAAGAAAGAACTCCACACATGACTTTTCTCTCCCATCCCCAACGTAACACCCTCAGGTATGTCCCCACTTTCTGAGGCACTACGACTGTCCCCCCAGACTTCAGATTAAAACCCTTCCCAAAGGCCAGGGAGGTGTGGTGCATGTCTTTAATCCCTGAACTTGGGAGGCTAAGGCAGGAGGATTGAAAGTTTGCGGGCAGGCTGGGAAGGTGCTCAGTGGTAGTGCTTGCCCTGCATGCATGAGGCCCTAGGTTCAATTCCTCAGCACCACATAAGCAGAAAAAGCCTGAAGTGGTGCTGTGGCTCAAGTGGTAGAGTGCTAGTCTTGGGCTGAAAAGCTGAGGGACAGTGCCCAGGCCCAGAGTTCAAACCCCACGACTGACCAAAAAAAAAAAAGTTTGAGGGCAGCCAGAAGTGTGGCTCAAGTATGCCTTGAGTTCTTGCTTAGCAAGCCTGAAGCTTCATGTTCAGACCCCAGTATCAGTATCAAAAACAAAAAACCTCTGCACAAGGCCAGCCTGCCCCCCCCATCACCGAGTCACCACCCTTCCTCTATTGTCTTCTAATCAGAAACCAAGGCTTCCTCCAGCTCCCCCGCATTGGCCCGCTTCAGGTGACCAGACACTCTCCTTCAGGTATCAGCTCCTACACTGGTTCCCCATCTGATCCCTCAGCCCAGTCTCCCTTCAGCAGCCAGAATTGTGCTAATGCCTAGTGCTGAGTATGTGAGCCTGGATCAAAATATGTCAGGGTTCCTTTTTTTTTTTTTTCCTGTCCTGGGCTTTGAACTCTGGTCCTGGGTACTGTCACTAAGCTCTTTTTTCTTCTTTCTTTTTTTTATTTTTATTTATTTTTGTTGGTCGTGGGGCCTGAACTCTGGGCCTGGGGGCTGTCCCTCAGCTCTTCAGCTCAAGGCTAGCGCTCTACTGCTTGAGCCACAGCGCCACTTCTGGCTTTTTTCTTTTTGCTTATGTGGTGCTGAGGAATCGAACCCAGGGCCTTAGGCTTGCAAGGCAAGCGCTCTACTACTGAGCCAGCCCCATAAGCTCTTTTTTTCAAAGCTAGCATTTTACCACTTGAGCCACAGCACTACTTCTGGCTTTTTCTGTGATTAATTAGAGATAAGAGTCTCAAGGAAGCTGGGCACCAGTGGCTCACACCTGTAATCCTAGCTACTGAGGAGGCTGAGATCTGAGGATATGGTTCCAAGCCAGGAAAGTCCATGAGACTTTCCACAAGGAAACCGGAAGTGGCGTTATAGCTCAAGCGGTAGAGCACTCGCCTTGAGCTGAATTGCGCAGGAACAGCGCCCAAGACTAGAGTTCAAGTCCCACAACTAACAACAACAACAACAACAAAAAGAAGAATCTCATGGATTTTCCTGCCCAGGCTGACTTTGAAATGCAATCCTCAGATCTCAGCCTCTTGAGTAGCTACAGGCATGGGCCACTAGCTTCTGGCTTTTTTTTTGTACTGAAGATTGAACCCAAGGACTTTTACATGCTCATCAGGTGCTCTACCACTAAGCTACAGTCCCAGCCCTTTTATTTGTATTTTGGTTTTTGAGATAGAGATCTGGCTGAGTTTGATCCCAGCCTGGGCAAACTCATGATCCTCACAATTTTCAGGGTGCCCCTGCCTCCACCTCCTGAGCATTTGGGATTTCAGGACCACCACTATACAGCCCATGCCTGGCTCATAGGAGAAATTCCTTTCAGCATCAAATGCCAGCACTTTAAATCTGTTGGTAGAAGCAAAACCTGGTACTGACTTTTCTTCCTTTCTTTTCTTTCTTTTTAGCAATAAAACAGTTTGAATTCAAGGCCCCTGGTACTGACCTTCCAGAAAGCAACTTGGCAATCTGTGTCAGAGTCTTAAGCACTCCTTCTTTTTGATACCAAAATATCCTCCTTCTCGTCATTCTCTTAAGGAAATAATCAGATACTTGCACACAGATGTAAAAAGCTCTCACTGCAGCAATACTTAGACTAACAGCAGAGAAAAATCAATCTTAATGTCCAATCATATGGCACTGATTAAATAATATGGCATGTTGATAGGACAGAATACTATAAAAACACTTAAATTTTGTTAAAAGATGAATGATGTCAAGTAAGGTATTGGCATTCAAAATTATATATATTATTCCTAATCTCTTAAAACTGTAAATACAGCTGGGCCTTGGTGGCTCATGCTGGGCTCTGGTGGCTCATGTCTGTAATCCTAGCTACTTGGGAAGAAATATAGGTTCAAGGTTCAAGATCAGCTTTGGCAAGAAAGTCTGAGATTCTAACCATCAAAAAGCTGGAAATGAAGGTGTGGCTCAAGTGGTAGAGTACTATCCTTTAGTGAAAAAGCTGGTAGGTGTCTCATACCTGTAATCCTAGCTACTCAGGGAGCTGAGATCTGAGGATTGTGGTTTAAATCTAGCCTGCACAGTAAAACTCATGAGACATTTATCTCTAATTAACTACCAAAAAAACAAGTGGCATTGTGGGGTAGATGCTAATCTTGTGCACAAAACCTCAGAAACAGCACCAAGGCCCAGAGTTCAAGCCCAAGATAGTTACAAAAAAAAAGAAAAGGGGGGCTGGGAAGGTGGCTCAGTGGTAGAGCACTTGTCTTGCATGCTCGAGGCCCTGGGTTCGATTCCTCAGCACCACATAAGACAAAAGCCGGAAGTGGCGCTGTGGCTCAAGTGGTAGAGTGCTAGCCTTGAGCTGAAGAGCTGAGGGACAGCGCCCAGGCCCAGAGTTCAGGCCCCATGACCGGGCCCAAAAAAAAAAAAAGAAAAGGGGCTGGGAAAGTGGCTCACTGGTAGAGCGTTTGCCTTGCATGCATGAGGCCCTGGGTTCGATTCCTCAGCACCATATAAGCAAAAAGAAAAAAGCCGGAAGTGGCGCTGTGGCTCAAGTGGTAGAGCACTAGCCTTGAGCTGAAAAGCTGAGAGACAGCGCTCAGGCCCAGAGTTCAGGCCCCACGACCGGACCCAAAAAAAAAAAAAAAAAAAGAAAAGAAAAAAGGAAAAGCTGAGGGACAGCTCTCATATCCTACATTCAAGCCCCAGTACTGGCATACACACACAAAAAGTGAAATATGCTCCTATACATATAATACAACTGTACAAATATATACATATAAACAAGAATATACATAAAAAGAGAGCTGTGACTATAAATCTGGGTGTGAAGTTATACATGGTAGTTACTTGAGTCTGTTGTTTTCTATTTCTCAATGAGTATGTGTTACCTTTATTACTAAAAAAAAAATTTTAAATAAGTTTTAGAGCTGGGTACTGGTGGCTCACACCTGTAATCCTAATTACTCAGGAGGCTGAGATCTGAGGATTATGGTTTAAAGCCAGCCCTGGCAAGAAAGTCTGGGCTGGGAAGGTGGCTCAGTGGTAGAGTGCTTGCCTCGCATACATGAGGTCCTTGGTTCGATTCCTCAGCACCACATAAACAGAAAAAAAAAAGCCAGAAGTGGCGCTGTGACTCAAGTGGTAGAGCACTAGCCTTGAGCTGAAGAACTGAGGGACAGCGCCCAGGCCCAGAGTTCAGGCCCACAACAGGACCCAAAAAAAAATAAAAAAGAAAAAGAAAAAAGAAAGTCTGTGAGGTCTGTGAGATTCTTATTTGCAATCAATCATTAAAGAACCAGAAGTAGAGCTGTGGCTCAAGTAATAGAGCACCAGCCTTGAACAAACTAAGGGAAGCCCACACCCTGAATTCAAGCCCCACTACCATCACAAAAAATAATAATGGAATGGGCTGGGAAGGTGGCTCAGCGGTAGAGCACTTGCCTTGCATGCATGAGGCCCTGGGTTCAATTCCTCAGCACCACATAAGCAAAAAGAAAAAAAGCCGGAAGTGGCGCTGTGGCTCAAGTGGTAGAATGCTAGCCTTGAGCAAAAGAAGCTCAGGACAGTGCCCAGGCCCTGAATTCAAGCCTCAGGACCGCACAAGTAAATAAATATATTTTATGTATTATTTATATGTATGTGTGTTAAAATGTAGGAAAAATGTCTACTCTGAAGATTTATGTTTCAAGTCACAAGTAGAATTGCAAACACCATGTCCATTTTTTCCCTTGTGACAAGGCTATTCAGGAAGCTAATGATTTAACTTCGCTTCTAATTTCAGAACATTATCCCTTAGGATAGATATAATTTTCCCTTATTTTTCTTTGCTTCTGTCACTTCTTTCTTTTTCCATTTTATTACCTTTATTTGCTAACTCTCAAGTTTTCCAGAATCCTGACGGCCACTGCTAAGACCTTTGTTCAGGCATTCCAGGTAAGCCTCTCCCAGCCCAGGCCCCTCTAGCAGCTATACTTTGGTTCCTCCTGCCCAGGAACCCTGAACTTTGACCCATACCCTCTCTGGTCAAGCCTTTCTACGTCCTCCACGCGCATGCCAAAGATGAAGAAATTCTGTTCTCCTGCCTCTTCTGCCATTTCCACATTGGCCCCATCCATGGTGCCAATGGTCAGAGCCCCATTGAGCATGAACTTCATGTTGCCTGTGCCTGAGGCCTCAGTGCCTGCAGTGGAGATCTGCTCGGAGAGGTCGGCCGCTGGGATCACTGTAAGGCAGAGGTGGGGGTGGGGGGAAGGGTCAGCTTTGGGGTGGTCCTGCCATACTGGGTGAGGTTGGTTCTGCACATAGCCAAACTCAACCTCCCCTCTGCTGCCACCAATCTAGTCTTCCTCCCACCATCTCTTTTTCTTTTTTTTTTTTTCTTTTTGCCAGTCCTGGGGCTTAAACTCAAGGCCTAGGCACTGTCCCTGAGTTTCTTTTGCTCAAGGCTAGTACTCTGCCACTTGAACCACAGCTAATAGGAGGATCTCAGTCCAGGTAGGCCTGGATAGAAAGCAAAACCCTATCTCACAAACAGCAAAGCTGAGTGGCTCCTGCCTGCAATCCTAGTTACTAAGGATGATGAGATCTGAGGATTGTGGTTTGAAGCCAGCCTAGGTAGGAAAGTCTATGAGACTCTTATCTCCAATTATGTCAGAAGTGGAGCTGTGGCTCAAGTGGTAGAGCCCTATCTAGACTTGAGCAAAAGAAGCGCAGGTATCCCTGCCCAGGCTCTGAGCTAAAGTTCAGGACTAGTAAATTAAAAAAAATTTTTTAAAAAGAAAGCACAGAGCAAAAGGGCTAGAAATGTGGCTGAAGCAGCAGAGTGCCTGCCTGACAGGTGCAAAGTTCAAACCCCAGTACCTCAAAATAAATAAGTAAATAAAAGGAAAGCTAATGCCTCCCCTGGGATAGGGCCCATGGCAGTGCCCACCTTTCTCAGCCAGTGAGACTCGGTAGTTCTCCAGGAAGATCACACGGAGGCGGTCTCCCACCACCGGGTCGTGGTTCACCACATCCCCGATTGCAGTGATAAGCTTGATGATCATCTTTGCCATGTGGTACCCGGGTGCGGCCTGTGGAGCACAGTCTAGGGTCAGTGCTACTGCCCAGCCCTGGACCCACATGTCCAAGGCTCAGAGCCCAACCTGTATGCAGCTTCTCACCTTGCCTCCGATCATCACAGTCCGAGGCACAACAAACTTATTGGGCTCTCTCTTGATCCCTGTGGAGAAGAGAAGAGAAGCTTCAAGCCAACCAGCATTTGCCCTCCAGCAGTGGCTCCAAAAAGCACCCAAGACAGCCAGGCAGGGTCTGAGATGGGCTGCCCTGGCTTAGGCTGTCACTTGTTCTGTGCCTGTGACTTCCTCCTGAGATTCAGTTTGTCCATCTATGAAATGAGATACTACTTTCATGTCCTAAGAGTGGTCACTAGGCACAAAGAAATACCGATCAGGCAGTGTGGGGGGAGGTGGGTGGAAGTGAGGACTGAAACGAATGCAGTCCCAGCCACTCACGATTGTACAGGGTGATGACGTGAAGGCAATTGAGGAGCTGACGTTTGTATTCATGAATCCGCTTCACCTGGACATCGAAGAGGGAGTTGGGGTTGATTTGGACTTTGTATTCTCTCTCCAGGTATGCAGAGAACTTCAACTTGTTTTCCTGTAGGTAGGAGAGGCACAGGGCTCACCAATGAGCTTCGCTTCAGAAACTCTACCCAATCACTGATTTCCCTTCACTCAGGCCCAGGAAGGTAGGTAATAGGAAGCTCCATCGCTACCGTCCTCCACCTCTGTACCAGGGCAGACATTGTTAATGGATGTCAGCACTCGCCCAGTGAGATCAGATACCGCCTTCCACAACCCACTCCAGGAAGATTCTACCAGTGCCTGGGGCTGGCAAGAGAGATGTGCTCTTGCTACCATTCCTGACCCAGATATAGGGCCTTGGCATGGTATCCCAGGTTGCATTCCACACCTGCTTCACTTTGGCCACATCCCTGATGAAAGCTTCATCGTCCACATAGGAGAGCAGTTTCCGCAGCTGGTCCAGGTCTGAGATGTACTCCTCCCCAATGCGCTGTGGAAAGGCAGTGTTTAGTCATGCCTGCTCCCTCCCTGGGCACAGAGGGTTCCCTTTCCAGGTCAGCAGGGTGCCTCCACTTCAGGGACTGCGCTAGGGACAGGGCATGGTGCATCCGTGTCCGCCTCCCCTCCCTCGCATCTCTGAGCTCTGATGGCTGGTCCCACCTGACCCTCCCCACCAGTAGGCCTCCTGACTTCTACCCTCTTCCTCTTCCCCACTAACCTGATTTAGGGATGACACCTTCCCTTTAAGACTCTGATCTCCAACAGGAGGTTGGCCTCTGTAGGTAAAGCCTCTATTATCCTGTGAGGCACACTTATACACCCATATCCTCTCTTCCAGGGGGATGTCAGGATTGGAGAACACAACTGTATTGCAATCCTCAGCTGGGAGTACCTATACAGTGAGCTACCCACCCAACTGTATGCAGCAGATCCCTGCAGTGATACAGTGGCCTCTCACCTCAGCAATGACCTCTGCCAGGCCAGGGTTGCACAGAACCAGCCAGCGCCGAGGGGTGATGCCATTGGTCTTATTCTGGAACTTATGAGGCTCCAGTTCATAGAAGTCCTTGAAGCTGCAGCATGGGATTGAGCGAGGGTCACCACTCACCCCTGTAGGAACCTCCTCCCGGGGGCCCTACTCTAGTTTCCTTCCTTTCCAGGGGGCCTGGGAGATGGGATGCAGAAATGGGAGAAGTAGAGACTGTTGTGTAAAAAAGCGGTTAACTGGGAGCCGGGTGCTGATGGCTTACACCTGTAATCCTAGCTACTCAAGAGGCTGAGATTTGAGAATCATGTTTCAAAGCCAGCCCCCCCATAGGAAAGTCTGCAAGACTCCTATCTCCAATTAATTACTAAAATGCGAAAATGGAGCTGTGACTCAAGTGGTAGCCTTGAGCAAAAAGTCTCATGGACAATAGCAGGACCCTGTGTTCAAGCCCCAGACCCTGCACAAAAAAAAAAGGGGGGGGGAGAGGTTAACTGGAGTGTAACAGTACATATAACTATACCGGATGGAAAGGACTATAGTGCTCTCAAAACAGGTTATGTGTGGGAGGGGCCAGTGGGAGGAGACCATAAAGGGTCCAGGTGATGAAGAAGCAGGACGTGTGAGGCTGAGAAGCTGTAGGCAGAGCCTGGAGAAGCAGGGCCTGGAAGGAGGGCTCACATGGTCTTCTTGAGGATCTCCGAGTGGATACGAGCTACACCATTGACTGCATGCGAGCCCGCAATGCACAGGTGTGCCATGTTGATGCGTTTCACTGCACCCTCCTCCACGAGTGACATGCGCCGGAGCCGGTCCACATCCCCTGGGAATGCAGCTGCCACTCTCTGCGCCCAGAGAAACAGAATAGGATCAGGACCCCCAAAAGCACAGATCAACTTCATACCCCTCAGTCTTCCCCACACCTTAAGGCTCAAGCTCCTAAGGGACACCCCTTCCATGCACCTACTCTGGGGCCCATTGCACACCTGCCCACCACAGGCCCTCAAGACTCACATTAAGGAATCGCTGGTTGATCTCGTAGATGATCTGCAGGTGCCGGGGCAGCAGCGTCTCCATGAGGTGCACAGGCCAGCGCTCCAGGGCCTCGGGCAGCACCGTGTGGTTGGTATAGGCACAGGTCTTCACTGTCACGTCCCAGGCCTGGCTCAGAGGGCGGGGAGTCAGGGTAGAAGGCCTGAAACCTAAGACTCTACAAGCCCTGTGTTCTGCCCCTGCAGAGCTGGGTTTGAGGACTCCCAGCCTCATTCCCTTCCCATCCCAAGACAGAGCAGTTCAAACAAAGGTAGAGGAATCCCAAAGCCCACCTTGTCCCAGTCCAGCCGTTCCAGGTCCACCAGAATTCTCATCAGCTCAGGGATGGCCAAGGAGGGGTGGGTGTCATTAAGCTGGATGGCCACCTGTAGGCAAGGGGGCTGGGAGTCAGCCTGGGCCCAAAGCAAACATTATGGTTTCCCTTCAGAGCTCCTGGGGGAGGGGGGGGGAGGGGCCCTCAGGGGCAGAGGGTAGTGGATGGAGGAGGAAGGCTCAAGTGCTATGTGCATATTGGTTAAAAACCTTGAGCATGTCACCTCCATACTGCCGGTTTCCACATCCTTGTCTATAAAGTGGGGCAGGCGAGTCCGGAGGGCCAATGGGACACTCCAGTCCCTCTGGCACCGTACCTTATCCGGGAAGGCATCGAAGTTTGTGCGCACAGGATCCCGGCAACCGAACTTGGAAGATTTGAAGCGCCGGATGATGTCCTGGAGGGTGGCAGCCACTACGAAGTACTCCTGCTTCAGCCGCAGCTCCTTCCCCTCAAAGAACTAGTTGAGAGAGCAAGGCAGCATGGAGTAAAGGCAGCGTGGAGTAAGGACAGCAGGGGTGGGATCTAATGTTGCTGTGGGTGTGGCCAGAATAGATCTCACTTACTAGGACTCAGAACACTAAACTTTCCCTGCTTCCAAGACCCAGGGTTTTTGTCCCCATTAATTAGTAATCATGGGAGATGGTGTCAGAAACAGGGACATTATGGAGGTGCCAGAAAAGTCCCTTCTAAATACTCCATTCTAGCTGGGCGCTGGTGACTTTACCTGTCATCCTAGCTACACAGGAGGCTGAGATCTGAGGATTGTAGTTCAAACCCAGCCTGGGCAGGAAAGTCCATGAGACTATCTCCAATTAACCATCAGAAAACCGGAAGTGGCACTGTGGCTTAAAGTAGTAGAGCACTAGCTTTGAGCTGAAGGGCTCAGGAACAGCGCCCAGGTCCAGAGTTCAAGTCCCATGACAGACAGACAAAAAAACAAAAACAAAAAACAAAACACCTCCATTCTTGGGCTGGAGTGTAGCCTAGTAGCAAAGCACTTGCCTGGCAAGTGCTGGGTTCAATCCCCAGTACCAAAAAAGAAAAGACAGAAAAGAAATACTCCATTCTGCTGGACACTGGTAGCTCATGTCTATAATCCTAGCTACTCAGGAAGCAGAGATCTGATGATCCAGTTTCAAAGCCAGCCTGGGCAGACAAATCCAAAAGACTTATCTTCAGTTAACTAGCCAAAAAAAAAAAAAAATCCAAGGCTAGGAATGTGGCTTAGTGGTAGTATGCTGGCTTAGCATTCATGAGATCCTGGGTTCGAGGGTTCGATTTCATTATACCATATAAGCAAAAAATAAACCAACTAAAAAACAAAAAATATCCAGAAGTAGAAGTGTGGTTCAAATGGTAGAGCACCAGCCTTGAGAGAAAAAGCTAAGCAATATCTCATCCTAATCTTCTTTCCTCAGGACTCAGGCCTCTCCTACTCAAAGGACACTGGGAAGGTGGGAGAGAAAACAGGGTCCACAGGTCCAGGCCATAGAAGTGAGTAGGGGAGCAGCAAATGTCCCCCCCTCAGTCCCCTGACCATCTCCCAAAGACTCAGGCTTCCACGCCCAGCCCAAAGGGCAACGCACATTATCGTTGGGGTACAAGACACGAGAGATGTTCTCAGCCAGATTCCGGTCCAGCACAGCCTGGATATAGCCACCGACATTAACTGTGGGACAAAATGAAGACAGCATCAGAATGGGCACAGGCCAGGTAGGAGGTAAGTGGGGCTGCTCTCCACCAATGGAAACTCACAGTCCTTGAGGTTGAAGTCGTTGGGAGCCTTGGCTGACCAGAGGCGCATGGTGTTGACAACATTATTGCGGTATCCAGGCACAGGAGTGTCATAGGGCATGGCCAATACCACCTGTGGGAGACACCCTGTGTGATGAGCTGGACAAGCTGCCAGGAGACCAGCCCTGGGCAACTGCCTGTGTCTGACTCCTAGGATCTCCCTCACCTGCAGGGCTGGAAGTCCAGGCATTGTCAATGCCTGCTACCAGCTCCCAAGCCTGGGTTTCAGTCCTAACACTAGTGTTTACTAGCTGGTACACAGGAGAAAACTGCACAACTGGACCTCATGTATAAAAAGGGAACATTCCCAATATTGATTCCCAATACATCAACTCCCGTCTTGTTAGAATGTTCTGAGCTGGTGCTGGGGGCTCACATCTGTAATCCTAGCTACTCAAGAGGCTGAGATCTGAGGATCGCTGTTCAAAGCCAGCTCAGGCAAGAAAGTCTGTGAGACTCAATAAACTACCAGAAAACCAGAAGTGGTGCTGTGGCTCAAGTGGTAGAGCACTTGCCTTGAGCTGAAGAGCTGAGGGACAGCGCGCAGGCCCAGAGTTCAAGCTCCATGACCAACAACAACAACAAAAAGAATGTTCTGAGGATTAGGGGAAGAGGAAGTGTGACAAGAGTTGCAAGTACATGCCTATAATCAGGAGCCTGAAATCTGAGGGTCCCAGTTCAAAGCCATCCCAGGTAGAAAAGTTCATGAGACTTTTTTTGGTGGTGCTGGGGCTTGAATGTTGTCCCTCAGCTCTTTAGCTCAAGGCTAGCACTCTACTACTACTTGAGCCACAGTGCCTCTTCTGTTTTTCTGATGGTTAATTGGAGATAAGAGTCTTATGGACTTTCCTGCCCTGGCTGACTTTGAATTGCGATCCTCAGATCTCAGCCTCCTGAGTAGCTAGAATTACAGGCGTGAGCCAAAAGTACCTGGCTCTTATCTCCAATTAATCACCAAAAAGATGGAAGTAGAGGTATGGCCCAAGTGATAGACTTAAGGGATAGTGTCAAGGCCCTGAAATCAAGTGCAAGAATTGGCATGTGTACATGCTTCACACACACACACACACACACACACACACACACACACGAGTTGGCTAGCCTGGCCTGGGCAAAAATGAGAAGTCACTTTGGACTCCAGTGTGGCTGGGAGAGCTTGAGGCCAGCACAGGCACACCAGATAAACCACAGATTTATGTCTGGTTGAACATAGAGCTAATTCACAGTGACTAACGTTTTTCACCTCTCACAATAAGCAAACAGTAATAACAAACAGCTGCATTGTTCAAAATGAAATATACTCATTACCTGACTTATGTAACCATAAACCCTCCGTATATCACCTTTATAATAACAATAAAAAATGCTAAAGTTTTTTGTTGTTGTTGTTGGTTGTGGGGCTTGAACTCTGGGTTTGGGCACTGTCCCTCAGCTCTTCATCTCAAGGCTAGAGCTCTACTACGTGAGCCACAGTGCCACTTCTGGTTTTCTAGTGGTTTATTGGAGATAAGAGTCTCACAGAGTTTCCTGCACCGGCTGACTTTTTTTTTTTTTTTTTTTTTCGGTCGTGGGGCTTGAACTCAGCCTGGGCGCTGTCCCTCAGCTCTTCAGCTCAAGGCGAGCACTTTACCACTTGAGCTACAGCGCCACTTCCGGTTTTCTGGTGGTTTATTGGAGATAGGAGTCTCACGGTCTCTCCTGCCCGGGCTGGCTTTGAACCACGATCCTCAGATCTCAGCCTCCTGAGTAGCTAGGATTACAGGCGTGAGCCACCAGCGCCCGGCTGCACCAGCTGACTTTGAACCGTGATCTTCAGATCTCAGCCTCCGGAGTAGCTAGGATTATAGGTATGAGCCACTGGTGCCCAGCTAATGCTAAAGTTTTGTTTTTTGTTTTTTGGTCGGTTGTGGGGCTTGAACTCTGGGCCTGGGCACTGTCCCTCAGCTCTTCAGCTCAAGGCTAGCACTCTACCACTTGAGCTACAGCACCACTTCTGGCTTTCTGGTAGTTTACTGGAGATAAGAGTTTCACAGACTTTCTTGCCCAGGCTGGCTTTGAACTGAGATCCTCAGATCTCAGCCTCCTGAGTAGCTAGGATTACAGACGTGAGCCACCAGTGCCTGGCATGCTAAAGTTTTTTAATTGAAAAATATATGGCTGCTCAGAACTCGGTGTTGCCAGTGTGCCAAGCGCACCTGCACTTTTCCAAAGGACCCTAAAAGGGGCATCACCATCCTTCTCTAACCCTAAGAGGCCCTGACTGGAGCATGGAGGAAGCTGCAGCTCAGAGGTGGAAGGGACTTGATCCAATATCACACGGCCAGGTTGCACAGCCAGACTGAGCCAAGTTCCTGGCCTACTAGCCAGAGGTGCTTGTGCCAGGCCAGCCGCCCCTTCTGGAGTAACAGTGCAATGAATACCCAATGCTGAAAGCCTAAACGTTTGAGAATCCACTGAATGATGATTAGGATGGATGCCTGGACCGGCTTTAGGCTCCCTGGAACTTGGTGTGTGACCTTGGACAATTCAATTTCACTCTAGAAGCCTTAATGTTCTCCTGTGTTCCCATTTCTGGGTTGTTGCCTTTGTTTTCATCAGATCTCCAGGTCAAATGCACAGGCAGGCATGGAGTCACTGTGACAGTCCCCTGACATGTCTTGTGCTAGCTATGGTAAGGAGTGGGCTGGGGGTGGGGCCCTGGTGGAGAAAGGATAGCACTTTCCTCCTCTTGAGCTTTATTATTTAGTCTAAACCCATTGTGTCCCTGACTCCAAGGCTCTCCTGGTTCTGGCTGTGTGGTTTTGAGTAAGTCACTTAGCCTCTCTGGGCCTGTTTTCTAACCCACAGTCTAATAGACTGTATGTTTTTTCCTTGTATCCTGTTCCCTCTACTAGCTTCCTCCCTTTCCCCTGTCCTGTCACGGATCTTCCCCCAGCATCCCCCCCCCCCACCGACTCAGATCCCCCAGCATCCCCCCTCCCCCCCCACTCAGATCCCCAGCATCCCCCTCCCCCCCCCCACCGACTCAGATCCCCCAGCATCCCCCTCCCCCCCCACTCAGATCCCCCAGCATCCCCCCTCCCCCCCCACCGACTCAGATCCCCCAGCATCCCCCCCCCACCGACTCAGATCCCCCAGCATCCCCCCCCACCGACTCAGATCCCCCAGCATCCCCTCCCCCCCCACCGACTCAGATCCCCCAGCATCCCCCTCCCGACTCCCTGCTTCATCCTGACCTGTGTGTCTATCCACTTGGCTCCCTGGCTGGTGTGCTCCACTCGGCCATAGAAGTGCACTGGCAGTGTGAACTCAGGCCGGGCCTTCTCCCAGGGGTTGCCATAGCGAAGCCAGTCATCAGCTTCCTCCATCTAAATTAAAGGCAAGACAGGGGAGAGTAGTCAGTGTCCAACCCAGGAGCCCCATCAGCTGGTAGGGCACGGCAGAGCAGGAATGGTGGTCAGGAGTATCCTATATAGGGATTCTTGGTCTGGGAGACTATCCAGTGGGGTTCACAGATGTGGTCGACCTATTTCAGGGGCTACCAACTGGCTTTGGAGCCAGCAGAGAAAGAAGAGCAAGGATGTTTTCCCAAGTCTGTGGCAGGTTCTGAACCTATCCAGAAATAGATGACACAGGAGAACTTCTGCATCACAACCAAGGTCCAACGAGATCAGGGCCCAGGCTCTCACCTGCCAGCCCCCACAGATCTTCTGATTAAAAATCCCAAATTCATAGCGGATCCCATAACCATAGGCAGCCAGACCCAGTGTCGCCATGGAGTCCAGAAAGCATGCTGCAGAAACACAGGGGCGGGGGATCAGGACCCAGCACTGAAGCAGCCCTCTGCCCGCACCCCTCCCCACACAGATCACCTATTCACCTGCCAGCCGACCCAGGCCCCCATTGCCCAGCCCTGCATCCTCTTCAATTTCTTCCAGCTCCTCCATGTCCAGGCCCAACTAGGAGGAGGGATGGCAGTAGTCAAGGCCAAGTATCAGCAATGAGACCCCCGCCCCAGGCCTCAGTGCTCCCCACAACCTGGTAGGTGGCTTCATCACAGGCATTCTCTAAGGCCAGGTTCACCATGGTATTCTGTAGTGTCCGTCCCATGTAGAACTCCAAAGACAGGTAGTAGATCCTCTATCCAGAGACATGGACAGGGAAGGGGGGGGGGGGTAGTCAGGTTATCCACCAACATTCACCAACTGAAATTCACCGAGATCCCCCTCTCCTGCTCCGCTCCCAGGTTCCAGAATATCCCATTATTACTTGTGTGTGTGCACACACGTGCCAGTACTTGGGCTTGAAGTCAGGGCCTGAATACTGTCCTTGAGCTTTTGTGCTCAAGGCTAGTGCTCTACCTTCCTTGAGCCACAGCTCCACTTACAGACTTTTTGGTAATCACTGACTTTCCTGCCTGGGCTGACTTTAAACTTCCTTTTCTTTTTTTCTTTTTTTGGTCATGGGGCTTGAACTCTGGGCCTGGGGGTAGGTGTGGGCTGACTTTGAACTGTGATCCTCAGTTCTTAGCCTCCTAAGTAGCTAGGATTACAGGTGTGAGTCACTGGCACCAGCCAGCATATCCTACTTCTGTGTCCAAAATTTTTCTCTCCAGTCAGAACAACCATCTGAAACATAGAAGTCTAACAAGTAAGGCCTCGGTTCTAAGTCAAATCATTCCTCTGTGGCCTCAGTCTTCTCATCTGAAGAATGGGACAGGACAGGCATGCCTTAGGGATCAAGGTGCTTAGGAGAGGTGAAAGAACCCCTTTCCACACACATGAGCCCATCAGAGTCAAAACAAAGAAATACTTCCAAATGTTTTCTAAAAGGGCTAGGCCAAGGCCTCGAGGAAAAAAGTCCTTTGCTCAAGGTCACACAGTGACTCAGGGCTAGGAATGGTCTGGGCAGAACCCCTTCATCTTCCAACTTCTGACCCCAAAGAGGATAGACAACAGCCATGAGCATGCCAAGAGCTTGGACCCCTCCTGTCCCCGGGACCCCTCCCCCACCATGGGCATGTGGTATTAGGTTGCTGACATTTACCAATGACCCCTTCAGACACTTGATCCTGACCGCCCCAGCTGCTCCAGCCTCGCCCTGCCTGTGGCTCAGGCACACTGCACCGTGTACACATTAATGGCATGTCATTCTACCCCAGGTCTAAACCAGGCCACAGGACAGTTTTTTCCTCACAGCAGCCCCTCCAACCTTCTCAGAGTAGATGGGGCCAGGCCTTTGCAAGCAGCCCACCTGCTCTGAGACTCCCCCCGGCCTTCTCCTACCCCCAGCACCTACTCCATCTGGTACTCCTAGATCCTCCAAACCCAGTTCCCCGGAGCCATCCTTTTGCTGCAGAAAGCACAGGCCTTAGAAAGCGACAGCCACTTGGTGACGGCCCATTTCCCACGCGGGGAGCCCCCGTAGCACCTTGGGGTCCTTCTCATAGTAGTGCTGCTGTGTGCGGATCCAGCGTCCCACGAGGTGGTCTCGGACAGTGTGGGCCAGCGCAAAGTAGTAGTCTCTCGGCGTGGCCACATTGCGGTCCTTGACTAGCGTGAAATGCAGGTGCCGATTGAAGTTCTTTTTCAGCTCAGTCACATTCTCCACACCAGCCAGGCCACGCACACTGATTTGCTTTCTCTTATCCTGGTCTGACAGGGGCCGAGACATGGCTGCAGCAGGGTGGGCTGGCCTGACAGACTAGTACACAGACCAAGAGCTTCCGTGCCTCCAGCCAGGGAGTGGAGTGACCCAGCTGGGATGGGATTTAAAGCCTGGCTCTGGGCAGCATGCCCCGCCTCTCCCCCAACCTCATCACCCTCTACCTCCTCCAGGGGAGGGTCCTGGCCAGCAGGATCAGGGAGCTATTTTGGGGGCAAGAGGAGGAGAGAAGAGGGAAGGAGGAGGGGCAAGCTCTACAAGGAAAGGGCCAAGCCCAGCCTGGCTGGTTAGCAGCCTGTGCTGACCCACTTCTCCAGTCTCCTCTCTGTAGGGTTTGGAGACGGGAAAGTTACTACAGGCAGAACTCTGAGCTGAAAGGCCCAAAGCCTGACTGGAGCCTGCTAGCTGTGTCTTTCTTTGTCTAAGGTGCTTCCCAAATCTGGGTCCTTCTCTTAGTGTACAGATAAGAGGTGGGACTGCTGGGCGCCGGTGGCTCACGCCTGTAATCCTAGCTACTTAGGAGGCTGAGACATGAGGATCACGGTTCAAAGCCAGCCCAGGCAGGAAAGTCCGTGAGACTTATCTCCAATAAACCACTCGAAAACCAGAAGTGGCACTGTGGCTCAAGCGGTAGAGCACTAGCCTTGAGCTGAAGAGCTGAGGGATAGCGCCCAAGCCCCAGGACCAAAAAAAAAAAAAAAAAAAAAAGTGGGACTGAACTGTGGACCCTGCATCAGGTCTGAGAGACCAATGGGCTGTCATGTGGGCCAGGTTTCAGAATTCACACATCCTTCTTTTTTTTAATTATTTTTATTTTTATTGTGAAAATACTGTACAAAGGGGTTACAATTATATGGGCAAGATGAGTACATTTCTTATCAAGCATTGTAGCCTCCTCCTTTGTTTCCCCTTCCCATCTCTTCCCATCCTCCCTCCCCGCCCCCCCCATCCTCCTCTTCTTGAAGCAGTAGGATTTGGGGGGGGGGGGGAGTTGTTTGTTTTTGGTGGTTGTGGGGCTTAAACTCCAGGCCTGGGCGCTGTCCCTAAGCTTTCTTTTTTTTTTTTTTTGGTCCGGTGGTCGTGGGGCCTGGGTACTATCCCTCAGCTCTTCAGCTCAAGGCTAGCGCTCTACCACTTGAGCCACAGGGCCACTTCCGGCTTTTTTCTTTTTGCTTATGTGGTGCTGAGGAATCGAACCCAGGGCCTTGATCATGCAAGGCAAGCGCTCTACCACTAAGCAACCTTCCCAGCCCTCCCTAAGCTCTTTCACTCTACCACTTTGAGCCACAGAGCCATTTCTGGTTTTCTAGTGATTAATTGGAGAAAAGAATCTCATGGACTTTCCTGCCTGAGATCCTCAGAGCTCAGTCTCCTGACTAGCTGGCATTGCAGGCATTGTGCCACTGGCTCCTGGCTAGGATTGCTAGTTACGTACAAACCACAGGGAGGATGAGCACTCTTTAGAGCAGCTCTCAGTAGGTTGGTTACTGTGGCCCTCACTGGGTTGGTAGTTGTACTCTCGTGGGGAGACTCGGTGTGTGTGCTTTGTATGGGGTATGTGTGTATGTTGTGTGTGATGAGAAGCAGGAGCTAAAAGTGTGTCCTGAAGTGCAGCCTAGTGCAAGAGAATGCTGGGCAGATGTCCTGATCTAGGACTCTGGGCTCCAGGGAATAGTATAGGTGGAGGTCCCCTGAGGCACTCCCATTTCTCTGGCCCCACCCTCACCCAAGCTAAGTGGCTCTGAGTACCCCCTGTTGCTGTCCTTCAAGGAGCTCTGAATGACCTTTTCCAGGATGGGTCAGATTACAGCCAAGCTCTTGGCTGAGGTTCCAGCCTGGAGCAGGGCCCTCTGGGTACTGTAGTCCTGTAGGTGTATAGGGTGGGAGAAACTGAAGCATCATCCACTCTCTCAAAATACCATTCCTGGGGGATGGGAATGAGCTCTGAGGGTAACAGAGGGTTGAATGTGATTAAAGAATGTCATGGGGGCTGGGAAGGTGGCTCAGTGGTAGAGCGCTTGCCTTGCATGCATGAGACCCTGGGTTTGATTCCTCAGCACCACATAAGCAAAAAGAAAAAAGCCGGAAGTGGCGCTGTGGCTCAAGTGGTAGAGAGCTGAGGGACAGCACCCAGGCCCAGAGTTCAGGCCCCACAAATGGACCCCCCCAAAAAAAATGTCATATACATGTATGGAGTATCTCAATAAAACCTCTTACAGGGGCTGGAAAGGATGAGGCCCTTGGTTCGATTCCTCAGCACCACGTAAGCAGAAGTGGGGGCTGAAGCTCAAGTGGTAGAGCGCTAGTCTACAGCTGAAGAGCTGAGGAACAGCGCCCAGGCCCAGAGTTCAAGCCCCACAACTGACAAAAAGAAAAAAGAATATAGGTGCTGGGGTTCATACCTGTAATCCTGAGGAAGTTGAGATTTGAGGATCATGACCAGCCTGAGAAGTCTGTGAGACTCTTACCTCCAATTATCCAGCAAAAAAACAAGACAGCCAAGTAGAAGTGTGACTCAAGTGGAAGAGCTCCAGCCTTGAGCAAAAACTCCACTGAAGAGCATGAGGCCCTGAGTTCAAGCCTCAGTATTAAAACAAAAGAGCTATAAGCTATGGAAGTGGAGCTGTGGCTCAGTGTTATGAGAACTAGTCTTGAGCAAAAAGCTTAGGGACAGTCCCCAGGCTCTGAGTTCAAGCCCTACTACTTACAAAAACAAAACCCTATAAGCTGGACATGCCTATGATCTGAGAATCATTCAAAGCCAGCCCAGGCAGAAAAGTCCATGAGATGCTCTCTCCTAGACAGCAAAAACCTGGGCTGGATGTGTAGTTCAAATGGTAGAGTACCAGCTGATCAAGCAAGCCCAGCAACCATAATAAGGCTCTGGCATGCGCCCGCGCGTGCACACACACACACACAGTGTGCACCCCATAAAGGCTATAGATCTCCCACATGAGAGGCAATGTTTTTTTTCCCCCCATGGCTAGTCCTGGGGCTTGAACTCTGGGCTTGGCCCCTGTTCCTGAGCTTTTGTGCTCAAGGTTAGCACTCTACACTTGAGCCACAGCTCCACTTTAAAGCTTTTTCTGTGATTAATTGGCGCTAAGGGTCTCATGGAATTTACGGCCATGGCTGGCTTTGATCTCAGCCTGACCAGCTTTCCCCATCCGCCCCCCCCCCCCATTTCTACTTTACCCTAAATTAAATCCTTGCTAAAACTTAATAAAAAAAAAAATGCCAGGTAATAACCCTCAGGTCTCCCTATAGTGCACTGCTGTGCTAAGTGAGTGACTGAAGGCCTTTTTCCTCCCTTCTCCTCTCCCTCCTCCCATGTGACCACACAGGCAGAAACTCAACAGGTCCAGTGCTTGTGCCTGGCCCTCCCTTATAAACAGAGGCCTGTTGCCTTCCTACCCATCGTGGGTGGGGACTGCTAGCTTCACGGCCCTTCTATGCTTTCTTTTTTTGGGGGTCAGTCAGGGGCTTGAACTCTGGGCCTGGGCACCTGTCCTTGAATTATTCAGCTCAAGACAAGCACTCTATCACTTGAGCCACAGTGCCATTTCTGGTAGTTTATTGGAGGTAAATTTCATGGACTTTCCTGTCCAGGCTAGCTTTGATCTCAGCCTCCCGAGTAGCTACAATTACAGGTGTGTCTCCCGTGCCCAGCCCCTTCTATGTTTTGGCTGTCCCCGTTCACTGATGCTGTCCTGACCCCAACACTGCTTGACTCTGTAGCATTAAGCTGGATGCTTTGCCTTTCTATGCCTTGGACTCCTTTTTATCAAATTTATTTTTTATTGGTCGTGGGACTTGAACTCTAAGACTGGGAGCTGTCCCTCAGCCCTTCAGCTCAAGGCGAGTGCTCTACCACTTGAGCACCTCTTCTGGTTTTCTGGTGGTTTATTGGAGATAAATGTCTCACAGAGTTTCCTGCCCAGGATGGCTTTGAACCATGATCCTCAGATCTCAGCCTCCTGAGTAGCTAGGATTACAGGCCTGAGTCACCAGCATCGTTTCAAATGTACTCTTGAATGAGACTACAAGCCCTGCCTCATCCAGTTACTGCCTCCTAATCTTGAAGGGGCAGACTGGTTCTTGAGTTATTTTCTTGAGCAGCTCGACAGCTGCTAGATAGCCTGGTTCTGGGAAGGCCAAATTGTTTCTGAAGCTTTCAAAGCTACACCAGACCCAGCCCTGGCGCCTCCAACCTGCAAGCCTTTCTAGCCTACCCCAGGCTCACTGCCCTGCTCCATGATGCCAGGACTCCAAGCAGAGAGGACGGCAAGAAACTCCTGAAATATACTACACACACACACACACAGTGCATACTATGCATAACTTTTTCTACTTCCACTTTTGAGGTGCTGGTGGCAGAACCCAGGGTGTAATATATACTAAATAAACATCCTACCACCAAGCTTCCCTACCTCTGTATCCACTTTTTTTTTCTGTCGGTCCTGGGGCCTGAACTCTAGGCTTGGGCGCTGTCCCTCAGCTCTTCAGCTCAAGGCTACCCCCTCTACCACTTGAGCCACAGCGCCACTTCTGGCTTTTTCGGCTTATGTGGTGCTGAGGAATAGAGCCCAGGGCCTCTCATGCATGTGAGGCAAGCACTCTACCACTGAGCCACCTTCCCAGCCTTGCCATTGATTTTTGAAATAATGTATAAAGGACAATTCCTCAGCCTAGCCATTTGGGATAGGATCTACATAGAACAGGCCATCAAAACCCCATCCTGTAACTTCCTGACAGGAAAGCTCCTCTATCCAACTGCATACACAATTCTAATGTCCCCAAGCGGCTTTCCTGTGGGTTGTCTGTCCTGTCGTCAGCAGCCTTCCCTTGGGCTGTCTCCAGGCTCTCTACCCTAGGGAGACACCATTATACAGCCTTTCATTCTACATGCCCCAGCCTGGCATCAATTTTCATATCTCCAAGAACCTTCAAGGGACAGTTCCTTGCCTGAACTAACTTAAGGTTGTTTATGTCTGACTAAGTTTCTAACCAGAAACCTTGGCCTCTCTGTTGGGACCAATCTTGGGTTTCTACAGAGCACTTGGCTGGGTCTAAGTAACACAGCTCT